TTCCAACACTCAGAAAGTGGAGGCAGGAGGATCAGGAGGCCAAGATCATCCTCAGCTACATAGAGAATTGGAGGTCAGCCTGGGCTACATGTGAACCTATCAGGGGGTGGGAGTGGCGGGGGGAGGCTGACTTCAGTTCTGCTGAAATTGGGTAGAAGAGTCTAGGACTCCTTCAAGCCAACGGGGCTCCTTATCTATGCCTCAGTTTCCCCATTCCTCCTATCCACAGTTTGAGAAGAGCCCTCCTGTTTGCCTGATGGGGGCAGCCACTTTTCTGGAAGCCTTTTATAAAAGGCTCAGCCAGAGTCAGCTGGGACTGGGTGCCCTCTGGGTCTCCAGTCCTTACCCCATCCCAGAGCAGCTGAGGTCCCTTGTCAGGGTCAGTTGAGACCAGGGACCAGGACCACAGCTCTCTGGGTCTCCAGTCTCCACCCCATCCTGGAACAGCTGAGGACCCTCCCTAGGCCTGTGAGAGTAACAGAAGCCCTTGGGCATTTGAAGCAGTTTGATTCAGTGATGGGGGTGCACAGGGCTCTAAGGCAGGCCCAGCCGGCCCTGGCCAGGGTCCAGCCGTCTGTTACCAGCCTGTGAAGCTGCCCTGTGAACAGCCCAATTAGTATTCACACCAGGTCCCCCAGTTCTAAGATCCCTTGTTCCCCCCAGACAGCAGCCAGGGTGGCTAAGACTCGGGGGAGGGGGGTCTCAATGGAAAGTTATCCCCCAACAAACAGTGAAGGCCTTACGCTGAGGTACCCAGGGGAGGGAGCTGCCAACTACAGTATGAAGAAAGGCCCTTGGGGCTCCCCAAGGCTAGACCAAATCTGAGATGCAGGAGGGCACTAGGCATTAAGATTGGGCTCTGTTTAACCCATTCTCTCTCTATCTTGTCTCTGCCCAGGTCTGGCTCTCTATATCATCCCCCCCACTCCCCTCCTCCATTTTATGTGGTCAGGGTGAGAGAGAGCCCACCTGTTGCTCCCCAAACAGAAAGAACCACACAGGAGGGTTCAAGGCATGGTTCTTATGCCCACCCCATGCCCAGTAACACCTGTCCCTGTCAAGGTTCTCTTTGACTTAGGGCTGCCTGGAGATGTCCCCCCAGCCCCCACATGGGGACACCAACAATACAAATGGCAAACTCATCTCAGGGTGCCCAGAGCAGGCTGCAGAATGAGGGTTGTCCCATATGCCAGCCCCCTCACTCTTTTCAGGGCCATATCACACTCCCTGGCAGGGTGGGGTGGGGGAGTACTGGCTTACAAGGCTGTGCCCTGAAATGGAGAGACTCTTCTTTTATCTATTTGTAGGTGGGAAGCATCAAGCCGAGGAGGCACAGAGTGCAGGAGAAGTGGGTGCTAGTGATGGAGGGAACCCCCAGAACAGTGGCCCTGAACAAGCTTGTATAGAGCCAAGACCCTGGCCATGCCCAGCCCGGCAGCCCCAGACCCCTGTAGCTTTGCCCAAAGGCAGGCAGCATCCCGGGAGCCTCCAGTGTGGGAAAACTGCTGGAAATGGGTCCTGAGTGAAGCCAGGTTCCTCTGAATAGAAGGGCTTCATGAGCCAGCACCTTGGCATTCCATGCACCCTAAGCGGGGCAGGATGAGGCACGGGATATTCCCTTCAGAGCACCTAGGAAGACTCATTCAGGAGACCACAGACACTGGCCTGGGAGCCTATGTAACACCTTGGGCCCAGAGATCCTTGGCTCTAGGTACCTGCAGGGTGGGGTCGCCAAACTGGCCACATCCCCCACATAGATAAAAAAGCTGGGGGGAGGCTACAAGAATGGAGATTCAGTATAGATGTAGAGACCTCAGAGAGAGAGCACACTACTACTGTCCTTAGATCCTGGAGAGGTGGCCCTGGGGACACAAACCTCATCTTAATACTGTCTCACACTGTAGAAGCTGTGTGTCTCCCAAACACTCCTCTATCTACCCACAGGCCTATAATCAACAAGGAACATCTGGTCAACCTCCAGATTTTTTTGCTTTTTTGTTTTTTGTTGGTTTTGTATGTTTGTTTGTTTATTTGGGTTTCTTGGGGGTTTTTTTTGTTTTGTTTTCCTGACTGCCCAGCCCACCTGACCTTACTCCCTTCAAGTCCCTGCACATCAAGATTATCGAGTACCCCTTATTCTCGCAAGGAAGCCCCCCATCTTGTCCCTGGAGCTTCTAAGCTTCCCAGCCACCTGGCTCGTCCCATCATGCCTTCACCAGCTCTGTCTGTCCCCGCCATTTGCCCTCTCCTTCCACATGCTGCCTCTGTGGGTCTCTTCTGGCACGCCCATTCTAGGAAGATTGGCTTCCTAAACTCAAGTGAGGACCGACCTTGTTCAGGTCTGCTGGCTGTCTCTCCTCTTTCCCAGACTCTCTCCATTGCCCCCAGACTCTAGGCCTTGGCCCAGGCTGTGCCTTCCACCCAGAGCACTGCCATTTCTCCCCTCCGCCTGGCTGACTCCATCCAATATGTGAGTTTCAGGCCCAGCAGCTGCCTCCTCCCAGAAGCCCTCCAGTCATGCACTCCCACAGATGCATAATTACCTGGGCAGTGACTGTCTTTGGCCAAGAGTTGCACATGGAGGGTGGGGACAGCAACCACAGGCCGCCTTCATCTGGTCCCTCAGCATCTATTGACACCTAGCCTGTAGTGCACACATCCCTGTCAGTCATCTACTTCCCATCTCTGTGCACACCCAGCAGCCATCACACACAGAACACATGCACGTGGACACAGTTCCCTCTGTTGACATGCATGCACACATATGCACACACAAGAGCACACGCCCTCGGACCACCTCCAACACGCCTCACACCAGCACCCACGTGCTGACCCAAGCCCTCACTCACCGTGCACAGTCCACACACGGCCAGGCGAGCCCGTGTCACTTCAGCGGGTGCCGGGAGCTGGGTAGTGCGAGCGGCTGCTGGCCGCCTCTGCCTGCCAGCATTTGCCAAGCAGTTTCCATGGCGACACATCTTGGCTCTGACAGGAACTGATGTGTGTGGGGAAGAGGGTCCCACAGAGGGGGCGAGATGGGAGGACTCTATGTCCTCCACTCCTGACACAAATAAGGGGGGTGTTCCACGAGTGGAGACATTCTCAAATCAGGCTGGCACCTCAAGAAGGAGGTTCTGAGCTGCCTGGCACAGGAACAGACTTAGGTCATTCAGTCATTCAACAAACCTCCTGGCGTAACCACTCTGTGCTGATGGCTGGAGCTGCAATGTTGCCTAGAATGTAGGCTTACCAAGGACTTGAGGTCTGACACTAACTCAGTGTCCCCCAAACCCCTCAGAAGGCTCTGTCTGTCCCAAGGAGGTCAGTTGACATCCCTCTGAGCATCAAGCCCTCTGTCCATCTTCTCTGAGACTAGAGACAGGGAGCGGATGCTGAGGACCCCTTGGAAAACCACTCACTCAGCATCTCCTATCCCCTCCCTGAGTGACCACTTCCGGCACTGTGTTCCTTCACTGGCTCCTCTCAGAAGTGGAGTCTTTTCCCATCCTTCAGTCTAGGCCTGTCTCCTGGCTCATTTTGGACAATAAAAGATGATGGATAAAGGGTTCAGTCAGTAAAGTGATGGCCACATAAGCCTGAGGACTCGAATTCAGACCCCCCAGCACTCACATAAAAAGCCAGATGCAGAAGTATGCCCCTGTAATTCCCGAACCAAGGAAGCAGCGGCAGGCACCTCCCTGGGGCTTGCAAGCCAGCCTAGTTTAATTATGACTCCGGATTCAGTTGAGAGACCCTGTCTCAAAAGATAAGTGTGGGGGCTGGGGACACGGTTCAGAGGCTGAGTGACACTGCTCTTCCAGGGCACCTGGAATTCTAGCTCCAGTACACGTGGCATTCTCTCTCTCTCTCTCTCTCTCTCTCTCTCTCTCTCTCTCTCTCTCTCTCACACACACACACACACACACACACCCCCCTACACACATATAGAGGAAAAATGACTTGTGTGACACTGTGCCAGGCCCTAGAGGAACACTTACTCCTCTGCCTAGTCCCTCCATTCTTGCTAGCACAAGAGCAATCCATCTGCTGTCCCAGGGGGGTGAGGGAACCCACAGGACCTGGGTTATCCCAACTGAAGGCATCTTGGACCAGTTAGCCCCAGGCAACTCACCAGCTGCCGTGAGCTCAGCCAAGACGAGCTATGCCTGACCCAGAGCAACACTACTGCTTGGGTGTTCCATCAGAGCTTTAGAGCTAATAAAAAGCTGTGATGAAACGCCAGGCGGTGGTGGTGCACACCTTTAATCCCAGCACTCGGGAGGCAGAGGCAGGTGGATCTCTGTGGGTTCAAGGCCGGCCTGGTCTACAGAGTGAGTTCCAGGACAGCCAGAGAGAGCCACACTGTGAGACCCTGTCTCAAAAAAAAAAAAAAAAAAAAAAAAAAAAAAAAAAAAAAAACACCCAAACTAAAACAAACAAACAAACAAATAAAAAGCTGTGATGATTACTATCAATTATCAGGTTGACAGGATCTAGAGTTATCTAGGGGATGCAACTCTGGGTTTGCCTGTGAGGGCGTTTCAATATGGAGAGGCACTGTCCAATGGGTTGGGAGCCCAGGCTGAATAAAAAAGAAAAAGTAGGCTGAGCTGCGTCCTGAGTGTGGATGCCATGTGACCAGCCGCCTCAGGCTCCTGCACCATGCCTTCCCTGTGATCCCAGACTGTACTCTCAAACTGTGAGCCAACACAAGCCTTCCCTTCAATTGCTTCTGTCAGGAATTTTTTCACAGCTGTGAGACATGAACCAATGCATGACCCTTCAGGATTAGTGATCACACAGCATTAGCTGGATGATACACACTAGAGGCCCAGCCAGGAGCCCCCCCAGCCTCACACACTCAGTACATGCTGATCACTCCAAGCGCCTCTCAGGGATACTGAGACCCTGGCCTGATGAGGGTGCTGGGAACCAAACCTGGGTCCTCTGCAAGAGCAGCAAGTGCTCTTAAACAATGAGCCATCTCTCCAACCTAAGAGTAAGTTGGCTTTTTATTTTAAGATTTATTTTTCTTTTATGTACATGAGAGTTTTGCCTATATGTATGTATGTGTACCGCATGTGTGGCTGGTGCCTGCAGAAGCCAGAAGAGGGTGTCATATTCTATAGAGTTGGAGTTAAGGTAAGTTAAACCATTGTGTGGGTGCTGGGAGCTCAATTCAGGCCCTCTGCAGGAACAGCAAGTGCTCCTAGCCACCTAGCCATCTCTTCAACCCAGTAAAATTTCTAAAAGCAATAAAGACCTAAAAAAGGAGCATCCTGCACAGAAAGTGGAGTGACAGTCACACCCTGAACACAGCGATGAAAGTCAGAATGCAATGGTTGGTGATCTATTATGGTTTGTGTCTGAATGGTCCCCGCAAGGCTCAGAAGTGACAGAATTCTGAGGACACTGACCTAACTGATGGACTAATTGCCACACGGATTCATGATATGATATAATTGCTATGAAGTGGGGCTGCTCAAAGGGAGAAAGTCATTGAATACCTTGTCCCCGTCCCTTCCTATCTGTGGTGGTTTGAATGAGAATGGCCACCACAGGTTCATATATTTCAATGTCTGGTTCCCAGTTGGTAGAACTATTTAGGAAGGATTGGGAGGTGTGGCCAAGTTGGAGGAGGTGTGTCACTGGGGGTAGGCTTTGATGTTTCAAAAGCCCATGTCAGGCCCAGTCTCTCTCTCTCTCTCTCTCTCTCTCTCTCTCTCTCTCTCTCTCTCTTTTCTCCCCGCCCCCCCCAGACCAGATGTAAGCTCTCAGCTACTATTCCTGCACCACCCCTGCCTGCCTGCTGCCACACTCCCTACCATGGTCATGGACTCTAACCCTCTGAGACTGTAAGCAAGCCCCCAATTAAATGCTTTCTTTTATACATCGTCTTGGTCATGTGTCTCTTCACCACTATAGAACAGTAACTGAAGTACTGTATCTCTTTCTCCCCAGCCTCCACAAGGTGAGCAGCTGTGCCCCATTTTTCACTGTCCTCCACGATGCTCTGGCCCATGAGGCCAAGAACCATAGACTGATTTCCTCCCTCATCTTCCCAGGGTTCTGTCACAGCATGGAACTACACATACTCAAAATAGACATATCCCACGGGGGCTGGAGAGATGGCTCAGGGCCTGACAGCACTGGCTGCTTTTCGGTTCCCAGTACCTACCTGGTGGCACAGAACTGTCTGTAACTCCAGTCCCAGGGCTGGAGAGTTGGCTCTGTGGTTAAGAGCATGAGCTGTTCTTGTAGAGGACCTGAGTTGGGTTCCCAGCACCCGTGCTGGGTGGCTCACAGCTGCCTGTAACTCCAGCTCCAAGAAATATGACTGCTGTGGGATGTTCTGTATGTCAAGTGTGTTGCTGATTGGTCAATGAATAAATCACTGATTGGCCAGTGGCCAGGTAGGAAGTATAGGCGGGACAAGGAGGAGAATAAAGCTGGGAAGTGGAAGGCTGAGTCAGAGAGACACTGCCAGCCGCCATGATGAGAAACAGCATGTGAAGATGCCAGTAAGTCACGAGCTATGTGGCAAGGTATAGATTTATAGAAATGGATTAATTTAAGCTATAAGAACAGTTAGCAAGAAGCCTGCCACGGCCATACAGTTTGTAACCAATATAAGTCTCTGTGTTTACTTGGTCAGGTCTGAGCGGCTGTGGGACTGGCGGGTGACAGAGATTTGTCCTGACTGTGGACCAGGCAGGAAAACTCTAGCTACATATGACCCCATATGATGACCTCTGTGGGCATTGCACTTCATGTGCACTTGTGTGCACGCACGCATGCACACGCGCACACACGCACACACATTTTAAAAATAAAGAGACTGGCAGAATGAGGTCAGTGGGAAGCCAAGAGCAAGGCGGGTGCAGAGAAGTGAAAGCCGCTGACTTTGGGGACATCAGTACCAGCAGATGATGCTTGTCGTGTTGTGGTTTGAATGTGGTCAAGCATGTCCCCCAAAAGCTCAGGTGCTGTAAACTTGGTCCTCGTGTGATTCTGGTGCAGCAGTGACAGAGACAGGAGGAGCTCACTGGCCAGCCAGTCTAGCTGAATTGGTGAACTCCAGGTTCAGTGAGAGACCCTGTCTCAAAAAACAAGGTGGGGAAGCTAGATTGGTGGTGAGGGGCACTGGTCGCTCTTCCAGGGGCCCGAGGTTCATGCCCAACACCCACACCAGGCAGATTACAACCACCTATGGCTCCAGTTCCATGGGATCCAGTGCCCTCTTCTGGCTTCTGTGGGTACCCACCCAAAGGTGGAGGAGGAAGAGGAGAAGGAAGAGAAAGAGAGAGAGAGAGAGAGAGAGAACCTTGATGTCAACCTATGACCTTCACACACACATACAGTGTGTGTGTGTGTGGGGGGGGATCTGACACACACCTACACACCCAGAGGAGGGAGGGGATAGTGCAAATCTGGCGTTTTGATCTCGTATACACTCCTTCTGAATGAAGCTGTTCCCTCCTCTGTTGAGAGTCAGGTGATCCAAGGCTTTCTCAGAGCTCCAGTGAAACAACAAAAGGAAGCTAGTTCTGTGTCTTTGCCCAGGGGCAGACTGGGCAAGGTCCGGTCTGGGGCGGGGGCCTGGGCTTTGAAGGAGTTAAGGTTTTGGTTGCTAGGAACTTGGCTTCTTCCCCCTCGAGGAGCCTGGAGTTATCAGTCCCAGGCTTCCACGTGCTGGTCTCTGACACCCTGGAGATAATAATCCACATTACTTGATTAGCAGCCTGCTGACCTTGTCCCCCTGTATAATGGCTTTCTGCTGACTCCATCCCATTTTCCCACAAATACTATATAAGATGCTGTACTTCTTAATAAACATGCCTGACATGAGACATGACCTGTGCAAGACCTCCTGACCCGCCTGATCTATCCTCACCTCTGATCCCTGGCCCCTCCTCCTCAGGACCCTGTCACTGAAGAGTGACTTGTTGGTCCAGGTCACTTCTCTACCTCCACTCTACCTGAAACAGCTAAGGTACCCTCAAGCAGGCCTTGAGGCTCTGCTGTTTGGACCTTCCACCCACCAGAACTGCTCCAGAAACCATTTGACTTTATACATTGTTTAGACTTGGCTGCTCTGCTATGGCAATGCAACAGAATGGAGACATAGGGGCCATGGAGGTGGAGGATGTGGTGGTATTTTACTTGTACTGAAATGTGATTTTAATTGTATGTTAATAAATAAAGTTGTCTGGGGGTCAGAGCTATTAGAGCCATAGCAAGTGCATGGCGGCGGTGGCGCACGCCTTTAAGGACCTGGAGGGCGGTACGTTCAGGCAATGACGAGGCAGTCACATGTTTGGGTTTACAACCAATGAGAAGGCAGAACAGCTAGACTATATAAAGACACACACAGGAAGTAGGTCCCCTTTTTCGGAGAGCTCTCTTGGCTGAAGAGGATCCCTGAATCAGGAAGGGTGAGGCTCTTAGCTCTGACCTCTTGGCTTTCTTCTCTGAATCGGCTCTGTGTTTCTTATTTAATAAGACCGTTGGTTACATCTACAGGAGGACCAAGTCAGACCTGCAGTTGTAGCCTGGTATCTCAGAGTGAGATTTGGTCTCGGGCCTCTCCAAGCCTGGTGTGCAGGCTGTTTTTATGTTAACTTGACATAAGCTAGAGTTATACTGGAAGAAGGAACCTGAATTGAGAAAATGCCCCTGCCAGATTGGTCTATGGGCAAGCCTGTGGTACATTTTCTTGATTGGGAGGGCCCAACTCACCATGGGCAGTGCCACCCCTGGGCTGGTGGTCCCAGTGTTTTAAGAAAGCAGGCCAAGCAAGCTAGGGAGTGCAAGCCAGTAAGCAGCACGGCCTCTGCATCAGCTCCTGCCTCCAGGTTCCTGCCCTACGTGAGTTCCTGTCCTGACTTCAGTGATGGACTGTGATGTGGAAGTGTAGGCCAAACAAACCCATTCCTCCTCAAGTTGCTTATCCATGGTGTTCTGTCACAGCAATGGAAACCCCTAAGACAGCTGGTAAGGGCATCCCACTTCACAGACAGGCTGAGTGGGCTGCCTGAGTGGCAAGTAGCTAGTTAGGCATTAGCAGGCCTGGAAGGCACTCAGGTTGGGCTTCTCACAGCCGGTGGCCTATACGAGAGAGGACTGGACCCGCAGGACTTGAATTACTAGCCAGAAGAATGGGTTGAGGTCATGTCTCTGACCCTGTGAGTTGTGACATCCTGAACTGCCTGAAAGAAAGGCCATTCAAACCCTGCTCCCAGAATCCCGGATCTGTGTAAGATGGCTTTATAACATGCACGAGGCCTTCTAAGAGTAAAGATGTCTCATTCCTCCTTCCAGGAAGAGTGCAATCAAAGACCTGATGTGAGTGCTAATGCTATCAACATGACAGGCACTAGTCACCCAGAGGACAAAGCTCTGAGCATGTCTGTGAGGAGGCTCCTATATTGGCCAATTGGGGTGGGAAGATTCACCATAATGTAGGTGACACCATCCCATGGGCTGTATTGAATAAAAAGGAGCAAGTGAGCTGAGCACTGCATCCATCTCCCTCTTCCTGACTGCGGATGCCACGTGACCAGCCGCTTCCTGCTGTTGCCGTGTCCCCCACTGTGATAGCGCGTCCCCTGGAACTGTGAGCCAAAAATGAACAACCCCTCTTCAGATCACCCTTTTTTTCACCCCAAATCATGGTAGACCATCTTTTCAGAGTGTCTCTTCCCATGATCTCTACAAAGAAGGGTCTCTATACTGCAAGTGACGCTGTAATGACACTGAGTCTTTTGTGTTCCTGCATGATTTGTCTTCTCAAACACTGAGTCATTTGAGGATACCATCACTTCGTCAGTGAACATGTGAAAGGGCCCCGGTGTCTGTTTCTGATGGATGCAGGACAACCCAAGAGAAGCTCCAAGGACGTTTAACCACAAATGGACATTCTGGCTATCAGGAGACACTGCTACCAAGATGTGGCCGATGTTTTCCTCAGTCACCTTCTATCTGACTCCTTGCCTACAGGGCATCAGGGTGGGACCACTTTAGTGGTTTGAATGAAAATGGCCCCTATAGGCTCATAGGGAATGACACTATTAGGAGGTGTGGCCTTGTTGGAGGAAGTGTGTCACTTGGGGGGGGGGGGGGGCTTTGAGGTTTCAGAAGCTCAAGCCAGGCCCAGTGTCACTCTCTCTTCCTGCTGCCTGCTGATCCAGAAGTAGAACTCTTGGCTCCTTCTCCAGCACCATGTCTGCCTGCACACCACCATACTTTCCACCATGATGATAATGGACTACACCTCTGAACTGTAAGCCAGCCCCAATTAAATGTTTCCCTTTGTGAGAGTTGCTGTGGTCATAGTGTCTCTTTACAGTCATAGAAACCCTAAGACAGCCAACATAAACATCACTAGTCTCAGAGACTGGTCATCGGTCAGTCTTATGTCCTATGGTCCAGTTTCTGTCCCACCTCCTGAGGCCCTGTCTGCTATGACTCATACCTACCTGGTGTCAGTCTGGTCGGCTCCACCTGCTGGCCATAGACAAACTGATCCTGGAAGGCAAAGAGTAGACATTTGCACTTGGTTTTTCGGCAAACTGCTGAGGACTGGAGTTAAGGTCAGAGACTCTGGATCCCGTGCCACCTGCCTCCAGACATTGAGGGTCACAGGACATCATTGGCAATGGGCTGAGGATGTAGGTCAGTCAGTAGAGTACTTGCCTGACATGCATGAAGTACCTAGAGTGGTGGTGCACACCTTTTATCCCAGCAGTTGGGAGGTAGAGGAAGGGGAATCAGAAGTTTAAAGTCATCTTTGGCTACACAGTGAATTTGAGGTCAGCCTGGGCTTCAGGAGTTTCTGCATCAAAAAAAAAAATCTAAAACATCTGGCTGTGGTGGTGCAAGCTTTAACCTAATTATCGGCAGACACAGACAGACCTCTGGGAGTTTGAGGCTAGCATAGATAGATAGATAGATGATAGATAGATAGATAGATAGATAGATAGATAGATAGATAGATTTATATCTAGATTAGATATAGAATATGAATACCAGTGTCAGAGAACTCTAATAGTTCCCAGCTTGCTTTGTGAAATCAGTATTACTGCCACACCAAAGTCAGATAAGAATCTCACAGGGAAAAAAAAATCAGGGCTGGAGAGATGGTTCAGAGGTTAAAAACACTTGTTGCTCTTCCAGGGATCCAGGTTCAATTCCCAGCACCCACATGGCAGCTCACAACCGTCTGTGACTCCTATCTCAGAGGATCCAATGCCTTCTGTTGGCCTCTGCAGGTATCAGATATGCATGTGGTGCAAAGACTGACATGCAGGGAAAACACCCATACATATAAAATAAAAACAAAGGAAAAAAAAATCTCACAGGCCAACTGCTCTCATGAACACATACAAAACTCCCCAGGCAAATGTGAGTACACAGAACTCAACAGCATGGGAAAAGGTTCATTCATCATGTCAATGGATCCCTGGGATGCAAGGAGGGCTCACACGCAAATCAAAACTGTGATACAGAGACCAACAAGATGGTAAAGGTGATGTCAGAGGACCTGAATTCAATCCCCAGAACTCATAGTAGAAGGAGAGAATCAACTCTTCAAAGTTTCCTCTGATCTCCACACACAATGATAATAAATAAAAATTAAATAAAAAAGGGGGGCTAGAGACATGGCTCAGCAGTTAAGAGCACTTACTGCTCTTGCAGAAGAACTGGGTTCAGTTCCCAGAAACCACATGGGCTCACACAATCATCTGAAACTCCAATTCCAGAGGATGTGATGCCCTCTTCTGGCCTCTGTAGGTACTATGTGCACATGGTGCACAAACATACAGGCAGACAAAATACCCACAAATAATAAAAATAATTGTAAAAATTAGAGTTGCAATTAAATTTATAAAAATTATATGATCATCCCAACAGATGCAGAAAAAGGCATTCAGCCTCTTTCATAATAAAAGCAATCAACAGACTTTGGAGGAATGTGCCATGACATCAGACAGGCTACATGCGACAAACGAGCAGTGTGTAATTAACTCAATGCCAGAGTTCAAATTTTTCTGAGGACAAGGTTACCCAGTCTTGTCACTTGTGGAGCACAGTGCTGGAAGCCCCCATCAGGCAATTGAGCAAGGAAAAGATGTAAAGTCATCAAATGAGAGAAGGGAGACATGAAGCCATCTTCTCCCAGATGACATGAGCTTATGTATAGGAACTCCATCAACTGTTAGAAGTGAATTTATTAAAGTCACAGGCTAGAAGAGTCAGCACAAAGGGCATGTCTGTGTCTATCCACTCATGGTGGCTAGTTTTCTCCATAACAAGGTCTTATGACATAACCCAGACTGGCTCCGAGTTTACAATTCTCCTGCCTCAGCATCCCAAGCCCAGGGTTTACAGGCATATTACCACTCTTGGTTTGATGGTGAATGACTGTAAATTTGACTGAACTGAGTGGCACCTATTTGAGTAACGCACACTTGGGTGTACCTGGAGAGGTTTCTGGAGCCAAATGACTGATGGGAAGAGCTCCTGAATGTGGGCAGCACCATCCCCTAGGCTGGGAGCCTGGATGCAAAAATATGGAGGGGGGCTCCCTGCATATACATATATTCATTTTCTCCCCATCTCCTCCCCTTCCTTCCTCCCTGGCAGCCATGTTATGAACTGCTCTGCTCCATTACACCTCCCTCACCATGATGGATGGATGCTTCTGAAACCAGGAGAGAAAATAGACCTTTCTTCTCTTGTGTTAGTCATTTTGTTACAGTGACAAGAAACTTTAACTAACATTAACAATGATCTACGAAACTAATTAAGAAATCAGCTCCATTTGGAACATCAAAACCAATAAAGTCCTTGGGAGGAAACTCCATTAAGGAGGTGACAGCTGTGCCTGACAAAAACTCAAAACATGAATGAAGGAGAATGAGTCACAGAAATCCATGTGAGTACATCCCTGGGCTGAGGGGCTAAAAGCATTATGTTAAGAGAACCATCCCACCCAAGGCAACCTACAAGTTCAATGGTGATTTCTACCAAAATCGTAATAGCATTTTCTACAGACACAGGGAAAAAAAAATCAATCCTAAGGCTTCTATGGAGCCACAGGAGTCCCAAACAGCAAAGCAGCTCAGTGAAAGTAAAAAAGCCATCACACTGCCAAAAGTCCATCTACTACAGAGCTCGGCAAAGGCTGGGGGTAGCTCAGTGGGTAGCAGGCCTGTCTGGTATGCACAAGGCCCTGGGTTCCATCCCTGGCACTGCAAAAACTGAGCATGGCGGTGCATACCTGTCATGCCAGCATGCTTGATCAACATTCAAGACCATCCTCATCTATGCAGACGTTCAAGGCTAGCATGAGATACATGAAAGCAAGTCTCAAAAATAAGGTAAAGGAGATAAAACTAGAGAAATCATGACAGTATGGCATACGAACACCCACAGACCAAGGGACAACAGAGCCCAGAAGACACACTCACCCACCAGGCCAGGTACCTTTCCACGGGGCACCAGATCTCACTTGGGGAGAAGTCTTCTTATGTGCTAGTTGTCAATTAGACACAAGCTAGAGACATCTGGAATTTCAACTGAGGAATTACCTCCATCCAATTGGCCTATGGACAAGTCTGGGGGTGCATTTTCTTAATGAATGACAAAGGTCAAGGGCCTAACTCACTGTGGGTGGCGTTTCAGTTTCTGTCTCCAGGTTCTTGCTTGAGTTCCTACCCTGACTTCATGACTATCTGTAAGCTGTAAAGATGAAGTAAACCCTCCCTTCCACAAGTTGCTTTTGGCTGTTGTGCTGGTTTGAATGAAAATGACCCCCCCCATAGGCTCATAGGGAGTGAGACTATTAGGTGTGGCCTTGATGAAGGAAGTGTGTCACTGGGTGTGAGTTTTGAGGTTTAAAATGCTCGTCAGGCCCAGTGTCACTCTCTCTTCCTGCTGCCTGCTGATCCAGATGTAGAACTCTCAGCTCCTTCTCCAGCACCATGTCTGCCTGCATTCCACCATGCTTCCCACCACGATGATAATGGACTAAACCTTAAAACTTGTAAGCCAGCCCTAAGTAAATGTTTTCCATTATAAGAGTTGCCGTGGTCATGGTGTCTCTTCATAGCAATAGAAACCGTAAGACAGCATGGTGTGTACTACAGCAACAGAAGATGAAGTAGTCCAGAACTTGGTACCAGGAGTGGGGTACTGTGGACAGATCTGACCATGTTGTTTGGGGACTTATAGACGTTTGGAACTCTAAGCTCTAAAAGCCATTGAGTGCTTGTGTTTTGAAAGATAATGGCCCCCAAAGGGAATGGCACTATTAGGAGGTGTGGCCTTGTTGGAGTAGGTGTGGTCTTGTTGGAGGAAGTGTGTCACTGTGGAGGCAGGCTCTGAGGTCTCATAGACACCCAAGCCATGCCCAGTGAGATAAACCACTTCCTATTGCCTTTGGGTCAAGATTTTTAACTCTCAGCAACTTCTCCAGCAATACATCTGCTTGCACGCCACCATGACAATTGGACTAAACCTCAAGCCACCCCATTAAATGCTTTCCTTTTTAAAAATTGCCATGATCATGGTATCTTTTCACAGCAACAGAAAACCTAAGACAGTGCATAAAGCCTGTTGGGCTGCTATGTGAGAACTTATGAGTGTTCAGAGAAATGCAGATGATAGCAGCCTGGCTTGTGAAGTTTTAGGAGGAAAGAAAAAAGTATCAGGGCCATTCATGTAATGTATTTACATTCAGAATCTTGCTGGGCGATGGTGGCACACATCTTTAATCCCAGCACTTGGGAGGCAGAAGCAGGTGGATCTCTGTTGAGGTCAGCGTGGTCTATAAAGCGGGTTCCAGGACAGGCTCCAAAGCTACACAAAGAAATTCTGTCTCAAAAACCCAAAAATAAATAAATTCAGAATCTCTGTTTCTGGTCAGCTGGGGCTGAAGAATCAGCTGTGATCAACAGAGACCAGGACCACTGAGGTAAATCTTCTAAGAAGGAAGTCTTCAGGACCAGCACACAGAAGCTGTGGTCCAGAGGGGGTCAAGACTGCATCTCAAGCAAGCAGCTGAATCTGGTAAAAAAAAAAAAAAAAATCTCATGTGGTACTGGTTTCGGTCACATAAAAGTGATAGGATTAAAGTGAACATGGAGAGAATCCAAGAGAGATCATTGGTGATGGTGTGACTTCAGTTGTGGCGGAGACCCCAGCAGGTTTGAGATGTCAGAATGTGAGATGCCCAGCAGGTTTGAGATGCCAGGACTGTGGATTGCCCAGCAGGTTTGGGTGAAGCTGGCCTGAATCTAAAAGACCAGCTGGGTGTGCTGTGGATGGTAGAGCCAGGAAGTGGAGCTGTCCAAGCCCTTTGGAGCCCAGATCACGAGAAAGCTCTAGATGCCAGACATTGAGCTTTTTACACTGCTGGATGCTGGTTTTGCTTTGATTGTAGCTGTGGCCGGGTTCTTCCTTCTTAAAATAAGATGTAGCTTTTTTTTTTCTTTCTTATAAACAGGACCCACAGTGGCAACTCTGAACAACTTTTAATTTTTTTTTTTTTTTTTTTTTTTTGAGACAGGGTTTCTCTGAGTAGTGTTGGCTGTCCTGGAACTCACTCTGTAGACCAGGCTGGCCTTGAACTCACAAAGATCCGCCTGGCTCTGCCTCCCGAGTGCTGGGATCAAAGGCGTGCACCACCACTGCCCAGCCGATTATGGGACTTCTAAACCTTGGTGGTTGGATGGAGTAGAGAGCGCCAAATGGCCATGTGCAGAAGAACACCAATAGGACCTTGTGGTAAACCATACGTAAATTTAACCTGAAGGATTACAGACTTCAACACTACTGGTTCTGGGCAGAAAACAAGCCACTTCTTTAATAATCCATCAGAGGGAAGGTTCTGGGGGCTGGGGATAAAGTGCTTGCCGTGCAAGCACGAGGACCTGAGTTCGACGCCAGCCCCAATACAGACCCAGGTGTGGCGATGCAGCATTATAATCCCAGTGCTGGGGAGGTGGAGACAGGATCCCTGGAGCTCACTGGCAAGTCTCATCAGTGAGAGCCAAGTCCCAGTGAGAGAGCTTTTCTCAAAAAACAAGGTGGACAGCACCTGAGGAGTGACACCCGACACTGACCTCTGGTCTGCATGCACACACGCACAAAAGGTAGTGTTTGTTTTGAATTGATTTCTTCTTTCTTTGACACAGGGTTGCTATCTAGTCCAGGCTGGCCAGGAACTCTACATTCTCCTCCCTTGACCTTTAAAACCCTGGAACCACAACTGTGTTATCATACCCAGCTTAAAATATGGGAACTTTGATCTACTCCCTGGAGGGTCTCATGAGCAGCTGGCCTGGGCTGCAGTCCTGCTGCTGGCAAGGGACGGAGGGTGTGGACACAGCCTTAGTAGCAGTCAGCTTCATTCTCCTCTAATATACCCACTGTGGCCAGCATGTCCTGCAGTAGGGACTGTGGGCTCTTCTCCACATGGTCGCTGCTCTTGGCCAGTTTGCCCTGCAGGCCCTCCAGGTCTAGGGACCTCAGGAGAGCTAGCATGGCCTCAGGCTCCAGGTCCCCAAGGGGCTGGCTCTGCTCACCCTCCCGCCACCTCTGCAGGACAGCCTCCACAGAGGCCAAGTTAGGGCTGTCCCCAGCCTCCTGGGGGCCACTGCAGGGAGCTGTCTTGTCCCTCAAGAAGAGGAGCAAGTCACAGGCCTTTTGGGCCACCGGTCGGTCACAGTCAAGCAAGGCACAAAAGGCAAACTCAAAGAGTGGCAGCCGGCAGAGAGTTTGCAAGAATTCCGGGTGTGGGCTGGGAGAGGCGGCCTCAGGCAGGCCCACTGTGTAGGGACAGTGCAGGCTGGGTTGCCCCATTGCCTGGATGAGGAACACCTGAGCCAGTTCCAAACCCTGCACTCGGACCTCCCAGTCCAGATCCCGGCTCACCGCCTGGAGCACAGTGGCCACAAACCACTCCGTGTCTTGCACCACATCAGCATGGCCATCCCTCAGCCACTCAGTAAAGACCCGTAAGACAGCCCTCCGAGGGAAGCCCTCTGAGTCCGTAGACAGGATATGCATGAGGTCCATAAGTAGGCCCTGCAGAGAGTTCCAGAAAAGTCAGCATGATATTGTCAACTGACAGGATCCAGAATCACCTACGAGACAAAGCCCTGGGAGTGACTGTGATGGAGTTTCTAGATAAGGCTAGAGGAGAGAATGCGCTGGGGTCCCAGACTGAATAAAAAGGAGAGGGCTGGGCATCCACCTCTCTCTGCTTCCTGACTGCAGCTGCCATAACTCACCCACCATGATGGACTGTACCCTCAAACTCTAAGCCCCAGTATACCCACCCTTCCTTAACCTGCTTTCATCAAGTATTTGATACAGCAACAAGAAAAGCAGCTAAAACAGCTGATGAGCCAGTTAGGACAGGACCCAGGAGACACAAGTGCACGGCCACCTGGGCTTGGGCCACGTGCTGCTCTGGCCCCTTCACACAAGGTGTCGGTATGCACTGCTCTTAAGCTTTGCCCTTGCCTATTATCCAGACAGGGTCAGTGTCTATGATGGGGTGCCAGGAAGAGCATCGGCACTGTGCCCTGCTGCCCGCAGCTCCTTGGCGGTCCCTCTGGACGGCCCTGCTCTCAGGAACCGTTGCTACAGAGCTGACCAGCTGCCCACCCACTCACTGAGCTGACAACAACACATGGCTCCTACCTGCCGGGCCTGCCGGTTCTCGGGGCTGGCGGGAGTGGCCTGCAGACCCCGGCTAGAGAGCTGCCCAGCAGCGCCTACCGCACTTGCTCGGACGTAACTCTCGGGGTCTCGGAGGAGCTGGCGGGCAAGCGTGGGCACTTCTGAGGAATGCAGTGTCTCTCTGAAGTCAGCCTGCCCTGGGAATCAAATGCCCCACAGCTGTGACCAAAGGCCACTCAGATAGTCTGGGAGCCCCAGAGCCCACAGGACACATAAACACAACACAGACACTGCTGTCCCCAGGGTGCTCACCTCCCCAATGTCGGATCAGATGTGTCAGGAACTCCAGGGCCGAGTCCCTCACCTCCCAACACGGGCTGCACAGGCGCTTCTGTAGTATGGGGAATAGCTCTGTACCAGGAAGGAGTGGTCAGTGGCCTCTAGGGTCACACTCTGCCTCCCCCCCAGGATTACTTTGCCCAGCCCGTCTCCACCCCAGCTCTTCTGCAAGGAGCCAGGGTTACCTGCAAGGAACAGCAGGGCATCGGGGCTGAGATCAGAGCAGTTGGAGGTCTTGTGTGAGTTCTGGAGCCATCTGAGTGTAGCCTGGAAGGCCTTTTTCAGGACCTAGAATGGGCAGGACAGGCTATAGGGTTGGAGTGGCAGGCTACCCATGTGGGTAGGACTCTGTGGCCCCTATTGGAAGCAGTCTTAAGCAAGAAGGTCCAGCTGTGCAGGCCTCCCGGAACCCATTTGCAGTACCGTGGGACTGGACTCTGGGCTCTCGAGGGTCTTCAGGAGGACTGCAAATACCTCCAGCACCAACTCCAGGGGGCCTGAAATAGACAGGAATGGAAACATCAACCCGACTTCTATCCAGAGCCCGGCACCTGGCAGGGAGCATGGATTCCAAGCCTAAAGGAAGCAGGGGGATGTAAGATGCCTGGGTGCAGGGCTACATGAGGGCCTGGTGGGACCACAGAAGAAAGAGAAGAAAAAATGGAATTCGGGGCAAGAGAAAACCCTACTCACTCGTTCCCTGAGACAGTGTCCCCAAGAAGTCGAGGGCTGCTCGCTGGACACGAACACAGCCGCCCAGAGTCCCACAGAGACGGCCTCCCACATTGGAGCTGGGGTCCGCTGAGCCATCACAGAGGCGCAATATGGTTACTGCAGCTCCCAGCAGGGGTACCTGGGGCCAGGGGGAGGGGCACTGGGGCTGAAGGAAGGAGTTTGGGTTAGTAGAGGCCTGGGGTTACATGACCCGATGGTCAGGGACTAGGGCTGCACCTACCAGCATCTGTAGTTCCTCCAGGTGAGCCAGAGTCTGGCAGAGGAGTCCCACACAGGCCGACTTAGAGGACAAGAGTGTGTCCACAGTCAGCACACTGCCCGCAGTCTCATCCAGCAAGCCTGAGGCCAAAGACAACAGCATCCCTGCAGTGACCACCATCCACAGCAGGGGCCAGGGCTTATCAAGGATGGAGGTTCCACCCTCCCTGCATACCTGGAGGCCCAGGGGCCTGAGTGGTGGCTTTCAGGATACAGGCCAGGGGCTGGAGGAGGACTCCAAAAGCCTGGGTCCTCAGTTCCTGGGGACTGGGGACATAGTACATGGTGAAGGTTATTCTCTGGCTGCAATCTGAACATCCCTAGCGAATTTATGATGGCTCAGTACAAGCAAGGGTGCACACTCCCCTGACACAATTCCTCGGCAAGCTATACTCAAGGAAAAGGAAATGGGGAGAAGCCTAACCAGGGCCTGAAGGCTTGGCCCTGATGTCCTCAGGAGCAGATGAGGTCTGGTCACACTCCCTGATTAGAGTGACAGGCAATTTCTAGGCTCCAAGAGTAGTGCCCAAGTGTGCTCATGTTGTGGTCAGTGACCCTAGATGTCCTTTTTCACATTTTTGTGATGGACCACCCTCGTGATCTGAGCCTGCTCAGATATTTAGCACCCATCCTCCCTGCATCCCATATCAGCAACCCACACCTCTGCACAGCCCCTGGAGTATACACGATTCAGCAACCCACACCTCTGCACACCCCCTGGAGTATACACGATTCAGCAACCCACACCTCTGCACAGCCCCTGGAGTATACACGATTCAGCAACCCACACCTCTGCACACCCCCTGGAGTATACACGATTCAGCAACCCACACCTCTGCACACCCCCTGGAATATACACAATTCAGCAACCCACACCTCTGCACAGCCCCTGGTGTATACACGATTCAGCAACCCACACCTCTGCACACCCCCTGGAGTATACACGATTCAGCAACCCACACCTCTGCACACCCCCTGGAGTATACACGATTCAGCAACCCACACCTCTGCACACCCCTTGGAGTATACACGATTCAGCAACCCACACCTCTGCACACCCCCTGGAGTATACACGATTCAGCAACCCACACCTCTGCACACCCCTTGGAGTATACACGATTCAGCAACCCACACCTCTGCACACCCCCTGGAGTATACACGATTCAGCAACCCACACCTCTGCACACCCCCTGGAGTACACACAATGGGGCACCAGGAGCCTGGCTCATCCACAGTAGAGGTCAGAGGACAGCTACAGATAGCTCAGAAGTTAGCTTTAGCTCTGGGGGTACCACCACAAAACTTTTATCTGAAATAATTCTGTCTCTTGCTCAGTATGGTGGAGCATGCCTGCAATCCAAGCTGTTTAGGAGGCTGAGGTAGAGATGTGAGGTTCAAGGCCAGTTTGACATACAGAGTGTGTTCAAGGACAGCCTGGGAAATTCAGTGAAAACTGTCTCAAAATAAGAAAAAGAGGGCTGGGGTGTGGCTCAGTGTAGAGCACCTGCCTAGAATCCCCCAGTGAGGGGCTGGGGTGTGGCTCAGTGGTAGAGTAATGAATAGCATGTATGAAGTAATGAGTTCCACAACAAGTACTGAGGAAGGGAAAGAGAGAAAGGGGAGGAAAAGAGAGGAGGGAGGGACAGAATGAGCTGACCACTGCTTTAATACCTGTCCATCCCACCTGGCTGCTCTCCCTCCTGGCCTAATCTCGCATCTGGCTTCCCAGTTTCCAATGTTCCCCAACCATTTGTGTAACACTCTTAGCATCCCCAATCATACCAGTGCTGAAGTTTCAGGGTCCCCAGGGCTAGAGGCCCAGCTTGTGTGGGGCTCAGGCGGCTCAGGGTCTGGGCCAGCATCTCCCACAGACCACAGGCTGCAAAACTCAACACAGGAGACCTGCAGAAAGAAAATCACTCCTCCATCAGTACCTAATTAGACAGCTGTAAATGTGCCCAGTCCTGAAGGCCATCCCCTGAGGTGACAGTGCCAGGGTCCTCCCCATGAAGCATCAGCTGCTCTGAGACTTCACAGGCAACTTCCACTCACCCTCAGCCCCTGCAGCCACCTGACCTGGCTACGCTGAGGAGGAGGTCCATGAGTGAGTGTACAGCTGGAATGGGGTCTCTCTCAAACAGGCAGGCCACAGGGGGACTCAACCGTTCCCAGAGGACCCCTGTCCAGGGGCTATGGCAGCGCCCGAAGGTGGTGATCAGTACATTCAAGGCCTGTGTGACCCGCGGGGTGGCTTTGGAATGCAAGGACTCTTCCACATGGTTCACAATCTTCTGGGCACAGACAGGCCAGGCAGCAGCTTCTGAGATGGGGGACCCTGAAGCCCCACCTTGCATGGCCAGAGCCAGGATGTGTACTAGAAGCTGGCTGGCTGCAGAGGCCACAAACAGGCTGGGGTCTCCCTGCAAGGAGAAGATGGTGTCCACAGCACCTGGAGTGGGTAGCGAAAGGTCAGCCTGAATGAGGAAGCATGCAGAGAGCACCTTCTATCTGTCACACCCTTCCAGGCCTCAGGGAAAGCGCCCAGACTCCCCTCTGCTCACAAGCAAACCCAACAAGAGCCTCCAGCATGCTGGCTTCAAGGCCAATGCAGCTTCTAACCAGTTCCAATTTGTTTCAAGGACAAACTCGTGACTGCTTGACAATACACTAGCTCGGGAGCCACCCAGATACTAGGAGTCAAAGATGACACTGTCCCTATGGTTACTGTGTGCTTACCCTGACAACTCTAGACCACCACCACCGCTTCCCCAGCTGAGAAGACTGGACTCAGAGAGGTTCAGGGGCTCCTCGGAGATCCCACACCACAGGCACTCAAAGCTAGTGTGCCCTGTAGGAACTGGGACAGGGCGTGGGCTACACTCACCACTGTCAGCCAGGAAGTGCAGGGCGCTGGGGTGGTGTGCCAGGGAGCACAGGCCCTGGATCCAGCCACTGCGCACGCTGGGCACGCTCCAGGCTGCCCAGCTGAGGGCACCCGTCTCCCCAAAGAGCCCCAGCAACAACTCTCCCTGCTAAGAAGTAAAGAAGGCATCAGGGATGCAGAGAGACAAGGCTTTGTTGGTTTGTCGGGACTGGGAGAGTTGGGCTTGGCGGTGGCGCACACCTTTAATCCCAGAACTCAGAGGCAGAAGCAGGTGGAGCTCTGTGACTCTGAGCTCAGCCAGGGACACGTGGTGAGACCTTATCTCAAAAATGAAAACAAGGGGCTGGAGAGATGAATTCTCCATCCGAGGACTGGCTGCTCGGATGGAGAATCCAGGCTTGGCTCCCAGCGCCCCCACAGTGGCTCACAACTACATAAATCTCAGTTCCAGGGGAATCTGATGCCCTCTTCTGACCTCCACAGGAACTGCATACATGTGGTCCACAGACGTATACGTAGGCAAAGACACGAAATAAAAATGAACACCAGGTGTGGTGGCACACACCTTTAATCACAGCACTTGGGAGGAAGTGGCAGGGGGATCTCTTGGATAGCAAGCTCTAGGGCAGCCAAGACTACACAGAGAGAAACTGTCTCAAAAAGCAAACACAAAACAATGAATAAAGTCTTGAGGGAAAAACCCCCTCAAACAACAAAACGGAAAACGAACAGGACTGGTGGAGGTACCAAGGGTGCCTCACAGCTGTCCCAGGCCCCAGCACCATTCGCTCTGCCCTCGTGAGAGAGGGGAGAGGTCAGGGGAAGAATGAAGAGACTTCTTTTCCTCCTCCTTTCTCTGTATGATTTTTTAATTATGTGTGCATGTCTGAGTGTAGGTATGTACGTGAATGCTGGTGCCTGTGGAAACCAGAAGAGGGCATCCGATCCCCTGGAGCTGGATTTCCCTGGGCAGGTGGACTCACGCCATGTGGACCACTCTGTTCTTTGTCCCATGCAACCCATGGCTGTGCTACAGGCAAAGCACCGGGGTAGCCTCCGGCCCTCACATGCCCCATCAGAAAGAGGAACTCCACATGTGCCAAGGATCACATAGCCAGCTTCATCCCTGGCGAGTGTTTCCAAGTAGGGACAGTGTGAGGTGACAGTGGGGTTGAACTCCTGACACACTGGCCAGACACAGGAGCAGGGCCAGCCACTGAGACCCAGGTACTGAGATGGCTCCTGATCCAGAGGAAAAGGATGACCACCCCTAAGGGGACAAGCACATGGGAGATAAGGGCTCACCTGAAGGTACTGGAAACAGTCCTCCTGGGCTGCAAAGATCCCAACAAGACGTAGAGCAAAAGAGAGGACCCTGGGGCTCACATCCTGTGGCTTGAGCACATGGGACAGTAGCTCCATTAGGCAGGGGTGGTCCTGTAGCAGTTGGAGGCTGGACTCTGGGGAGACAGGACATCTCAAGAGGGCAGTGACCAAGGAGAGCCTCTCTAGAAGTGGCCCTATCCATCAGGATCAAGTAGTCCAAGCGGGGAGGGTTTTTGCAACAAATAGCAACTAACCTGAATTCATTAAGGAGGAGACCTCAGAGAGTCAATGATTCAGCAGTAGGTAAAAGATACAGACAAGAACCATACAGACAACAAGTCAAGAGCTAGGGCTGTAACTCCACATAGAGCACCTGCCTACAATCCCCCAGTGAGGGGCTGGGGTGTGACTTGGTGGTAGAACACCTACCCAGAATCCTCCAGTGAGAGGCTGGGGGGTGTGACTCAGTGGTAGAGCATCTGCCCAGAATCCCCCAGTGAGGAGCTGGAGGTGTGGCTCAGTGGCAGAGCACCTGCCTAGAATCCCCCAGTGAGGGGCTGGGGGTGTGGCTCAGTGATAGAGCACCTGCCTAGAATCCCCCAGTGAGGAGCTGGAGGTGTGGCTCAGTGATAGAGCACCTGCCTAGAATCCCCCAGTGAGGGGCTGGGGGTGTGGCTCAGTGGTAGAGCACCTGCCTAGAATCCTCCAGTGAGAGGCTGGGGTGTGGTTCAGTGGTAGAGCACCTGCCTAGAATCCCCCAGTGAGGGGCTGCGGTGTGGCTCAGTGGTAGAGCCCCTGCCTAGAATCCCCCAGTGAGGGGCTGCGGTGTGGCTCAGTGGTAGAGCCCCTGCCTAGAATCCCCCAGTGAGGGGCTGGGGTGTGGCTCAGTGGTAGAGCCCCTGCCTAGAATCCCCCAGTGAGGGGCTGGGGTGTGGCTCAGTGGTAGAGCACCTGCCTAGAATCCCCCAGTGAGGGGCTGGGGTGTGGCTCAGTGGTAGAGCCCCTGCCTAGAATCCCCCAGTGAGGGGCTGGGGTGTGGCTCAGCAATAAAATTTTTGTCTATCTCTAGGTCCATTGAAAGAAAGAATGGAAGAATGAATGAATGGAAGGAAGGAAGGAAGGAAGGAAGGAAGGAAGGAAGGAAAAGAAAGAGTGACAGAGAGAAAGAGAGAAAGAAATGAAATAAATAAGGAGCCATTAAAGAAAAGACAACAGTGCAAAAAAAATGTTGAACTTACAATCTCAGGGCAAGACTTTTACACATCTCACCTCTGAGAAACAATTTCATGGACAGACTGTCAAGAACACAGCAGACGTGAATGGTGAAAGCCAACCTAGTGATCTATCTAATGAACAGGTGTGAAAACATTCATCCCAACATGTGGAACATTTTTTTTTTAAATACTTGCAGGTCAGACATGGTGACACACATCTTTAAACATGGCACTCGGGAGGCAGAGGTGGGCAGACCTCTGAGTCAAAGACAGCTTGGTCTACAAGCCAGCCTGGACTATACAGCTGAATCCTACCTCCAAAGAAACAACAACAAACCAAAAGGAGCTGGGGAGATGGTTCCATAGATAAGACAGGCATGGAAAGCATGAGGAGCCGAGTTCGAATTCCCAGCACTCACATAAAAAGCCAGGCATGTCTCTGCATGCTTCTAATTCTAGAGGTGGGGGAGGGGTGGAGACAGGCAGATCTCAAGTACTTCCTGGCCAGCCAGCCTAGTTTCCTGTAACTTCAGGTTCAGTAACAGATCTTTTCTCAAGGCAATGGGTGGAGAGTGATCGTAGAAGATGCCTAATATTCTGCTCTGACCTTCGTATATAGATGCCTGGGTGTGCATGCAACACACACACACACACACACACACACACACACACACACACACACAATCCTGTAAAATTACTTGCAAAAACCTGACTAAAAACTAGGCTTTGAGGGCTGGGGAATGGTTCAGTAGGTAAAGCTTTCTGTGCAGGACCAGAGTTCCGATTCTCAGAGCCAATATAAATGCTGGGCAGACAGCACCCCAGAGACACAGACAGGAGACCCTCAGCTGTCCTGTTTGAACAGTCAACCTGGAAAGCTCTGGGTTCAAGTGAGACTCTGCCTCAATATGTAAGGTGTAAGGTGATTGAAAAGACAATGTCAACCTCCGGCCTCCACACTCATGAGCAAACAGGTGCACATATACATATACATACACACACACATACACACATATCACACATCAGGCATAGTGGCACACGCCTTTAATCTCAGCACTTCAGAGGCAGAGACAGGCAGATCTCTGTGAGTTGGAGGCCAGCCTGGTCTACAGAGTGAGTTCTAGGACAGCCAGGGCTGTTATACAGAGAAACCCTGACTCAAAAACAAAACAAACAAACAAAAAACCTAAATTACAAAAGTATCATACAGTAAAGCTTGTAGGATTCAACTAACATGTTACTTTTACAGGGAAATGTCATTTTAAATCCTATAACTTAGAGACAAAACACAAAAGAAAAGATAAAGGCTGGGGATGTAGCTCAGTTGGTAAAGCGCTTCTCTGCCATGCAAGAAGCTCTGGCTCCATCCTCAGCATCCAATAAAAACAGGGAGTGATGGTTCACACTACGATCCCACTCAGACACGGATAAGAGGACCAGAGGTTCAAGGTCACCCTTGAGGACAGCCTAGGCTACATTAGATCATGTCTCACAAGAAAAAAAAAACAAAAAAACAAAAAAACAGCAAACCAAGAAGAAATGAAGGTAGGTATGAAAGACAAGACAAGGCTCAGAAGACAATGATCAACCATGAGAGGAAAAACTTTTAGTTGCCAGGGTACTCACGCTCAAGGAAAAGTCAGTACAACACTATTTATAACAACAAAAAATTGAAAACACAAACAATGCATGTGATTAAAAAAATTAAGGTCCACCCACACAGCAAAAATGTAACTCAGGCTGGCCTTGAACTCACTATGTAGCACTGGCTGGCCTCAAAGCTGAGAGGTCCACTTGCCTTGACTTCTGGATGACATGTCCCACCACATCCACCCAGAGATCTAAGTTCTTCAAGATAAGCAAAATACAACAAAGATAACTTAAACAATGTAGGTGGCTCTCTGCAAACACCTAGTGTGAACTGAACAGCGCTTGGAAGCCTGAAATGTGATGGACTCCGATGGGACTTTCAACTTGTGACTCCACAGCTCACTGCCCTGGTGCCGCATCTTGACTCTCTCTGATCATCCAGAGAACCCCAAGGAGGTGAAGTTCCACATGCCATGTCCTTACCTGTCTCTGTCACTGTTTTAAACCAATCCAACAGTTTCTCCAAGCAGGTGTCATCTGCCACCAGCTGCCTGGGGTCTGCCAGAACAGCACAGACTGCCGGGAGGAGCCTGGAGCATTCTGGGTCCATGATCAGGACAGTGGTTCCTACAGAAGAAGCAATGGATCAGCCATGATCATATCTGGCTTCAGACACCAGCTACCCTAGTCAAAGGCAGCCTTCCATGACAGGGGAGGGGCCCCGAAAATTTCATGTGGCCCAGAACTCTGAGCCCACAAAGATGCTAAGCTCAGTCCAGGGGAACCTGGGCAATCAAGAGGGTTGAGTCCTGGCAGCTGCACCGTCAGTGAGAGAGGAAAGGTTAATCAGAGCCACAAGGCCTTTGGTTTGGTGGCGTGGGGTGGAGGTGCAATTGCCTACTGACCTAGCTGCGGGTAGCACAGAGTCAGGGGATCAGCCAAGTGTGCAGGGGACTGTCCATGCAGGCACCTGATCCCAGAGTCTGTTCCCAACGGTCAAGAGAAACCTGCATGAGACCCAGGAGTGCAGAAGGTGTGTGTCACAGCCCAGGTCGGTAGAAACTGCAAACGACAACCCTGCGGCCTGCATCGGACAGAAATAGGAATCTTGGAAGGCAATGATATCAGTATCTGTCGGCCCAGCAGGGTCCGTCTCAACCCCGACATTGGTCGTCCGTACCTCCTAAGACCGGATAAGAGGTGCGCTCTCTGCGATTTCGAGTTAACTGGGGTTCGAATCCCACCCCCGCGTCCCTCAGCTACGGAATAGGCCCGAGAGTACAGAATGCACTACCAGGCCCCAAGTGCCCGGCCGGAACTCGAAGTCCGCCTTACCCGGGCTCTCGACCCCCGGTCTGCGTGCCACTCTCCCGCTGAGGTTCCGGTATCTGCTACAGGCCCCGCCCGCGCCTCCGCAAATTCCGCTCCACGCCAGCCCAGGCCCCGCCCTCCCCAGGTTCGGCCCCACCTCAGAGTTCGTTCCACGCAGCCGCAGGCTCCGCCCCACACCATTACAGGCCCCGCCCCACCGCGGGAGTTGGCTCCACCCCGCCCTCTTCGAGTCCCACCCCGCCTGAGTTCGCAGCCGAGGCCCCGCCCCCAACGCAAGTTCCTTTCACGTGGTTACAGGCTCCGCCCCTCAGAGCTGCGGGTCCGCCCTTCTCTGCTTGAGTCTACGACTCTACAGGCCCCGCCTTAAGGCAGTACCGCGTGACAGACACGGGCGCGAAAGAGCTGGGAGGGTGCACTTGGAGACCGGTGACGACCCTGACCGCCACTCCGGTCACCTCTAAGGCTCAAAACCCTGAAAGTGTACTCCAGCTGGGTGTAGCTTGGGATTTTCACACACACTCGGAACTATCACCCTCCCGACACGCTAAGTGGCTCCTGCCCGGAGCGTCTCCAAGGCGGGTTCGGTGTGGGCGTGGCTATTCACTGGAAGGCGGGGCCTCCCTGGCCTCAGGCCACGTGTCTAGGCATTTATGGTCCCTGCTCCTGTAACCCTCGTTGCCAGCTGGAGTGACCAGCGGGGGGCAGGCAGTTTATGCACAGGACCTCCCGTGCTGAATCCTTTGGCTCCTACAGCGGCTAGCACTAAACTCTGGGGACTAGAGTCCAGTCACCAAAGCCTGCGGTTCTCTGGCTCTCCACGGCTTCATCCACTCTGCTAATGATAGATAAAAAGTAGACAAGCGGGGCCTAGAGAGATGGTTCAGTAGTTAAAGTGTACCTCCTATTCCAACAGAGGACCAGAGTTCGTTCCCCAGCCCTGAGGTCCCCCACCCAAGGTTGGCATACACTCACACAAACACATAAATAAAAATATTTCTCAAGGCAGGGCGTGGAAGCTTCTGCCTTTAAGCTCAGGACAGATGTACCCATGTAAGTTTGGGGTTAGGCTGTGTCAAAATAAAACTTTTTTTTTTAAGAGAAAAATTCTTTTTCAAGTAGGTAAGAAAAAACAACCACTCAGGAGAAGCCTTGTCTTGAGCTTTAATGTTGCAATAGCACCCAGCTGCAGAGAGCTGTTTACCCAGAAACTGAATGCGGGCTGGGGAATAGTTAGGCTACTGAGTGTGTCAGTCGCCGGACCGATGGGGTAGGGTGTAAGAAGGAAAAGCCAGGCATGGTGGTATACACTTGCAATCCCAGCACTGAGGAGGCAGAGACAGGAGGATCTCCAGGAAAATGTGATACTGTGTTTGGACCTATCAGGGGGCCTGCTGGGCCACCAGCGGAATGCTCCCCAGCTGGCCTGGGTGGGGAAAGCCTCAGGGTCCTCCGGGAGGTTCGGAGGCTTGTGACAGCAAACTGTGGTCAGCTGAGGGTATAAAGCGGGTGTGGTACAGGCCGATGGGTAGTCCTGGTGTGGAATGTTCTTCCCGCAAGGTGCCCGTCCTAGGTCTAACAATTAGGGAGTCACTTAGGCTCCCAACACCTTGGATTATTTAGAGGAAAAAGAAACATTTAAATAGGTGCCTATCACTAACAATGGTGCCTTACGCCCTGTCTCCTGTGTCTACTCAGCATGGCGACCCTCGGAACCCCTGCCCACTGGACTGCACAGTTGGAGCCACTGTCTGCAGAAACCCAACTCGGGCTCCTGAAGTTGCAGCTGAGAGCGTAGCTCTGAGGTAGAGAGGCGGCCTTGCATGCAGGAGGGTTCAATTCATGCATCACGAGAAACCGAAAACCCACAGGGGACAAAATTTCGTTGCGCAGTGCAACCCCGGAAGAGTCCATGGTCGGCCCCCACGCCCGCGCTCACTCTGCGCGCGCACACGGTTCGCCAGGCTCCACAGGGAGGTCCACATCCGGGGCTCTGTGGCCGCGGCACGGTTGCCATGGCAGCAGGGCGGCTGGCAGACCGCCCACGCTGAGGGCCGATCTCGCAGAGCCCGGGAGGCCGCGCAGCGCCGCCACTATGAGTCTGGACACCGCGGAGCTGGCTTCCGAGACGGTAAGGAGGCCCGGGGCAGAGGGAGAACAGGCGCATGGTGGCAGCCAGCTCCCGCAGGCCGATTGTTACCGCACAAGAGCCAGCCCCGGGCGTAGGCCGCCACCGTGCCCGCGCCCGCGCCCCAGCAGCCTCTAGCTCCGACCCGCGCTCGCGGAAGCCACTGCTTTCAGAAAGTCCCCAGGACCGCGCCCTCCCGCGCGCGCTGCGGGTCTGAGGCCGCGGCCGGCTGGTGACGAGTTCACCTCGTAAGTGTTGCTGAAGGCTGCACTCCAGTGATTCCTCAGAGCCATCCCACGCAAAGGAGAAGGCCTCCACCCCCATGGCCAACCCTGCACGGGTCAGAGGCATCTCTAGAAGAGGCGTGCCACGCCCTCGGTCTCCCGGTGCAGGGTGGACCCGCTGGCCCTCTGTGCGTGCTGGTACCAAGTGAACTTTGTGCATTCCAGTGGGGGCTATAGGACAGGGCCATGGGCTGATGTCCCCAATCACAAAGACAAGTAGGAAGAATTTGGTACAGGCCAGCGGGGACAATAAATGCAAAAGGCTTCGAAGCGGGAAAGTGCCATGTCCAAGGGACAGATAATACTCTGGGATAATACTGAGAAGGGGACTGAAGGGAGTAGGCAGGAACCTGGCTATGGGCAGAATGACTTATCAAGGGTCCAAGGGCCCGTGGAAGGTTCCGCACAGACTGAGGGACAGTGCTTCTGGTGAGCCGAGAGCAATTGGAATTTCCTACTAGTCCCTGCAGAGGAGACTTCCTGAGTCCTACCTAGTTTGGGAAGTCGGTCACTCTTTGCTGTGTGTGTGCTGCTGGAGACTGAACCCCTCATGCCAGGCCAGAGTGCTACTGATGAGCCTGCACCACACGGTCACTGGGGGATTGTAGGCTGAGTCAGACCCCTAGCCCAGGCAAGTGCTCTACGACTGAGCCATGCCCCCAGCCCCTCACTGGGCTCTCCCCCTTGAAGAAGTTAAAACCTTCTTGTGTTGTAATTACAAAGATAATGCATTATTCTTTCAGGACCTTTGGGAAGTTATCCATAACCTGGTGATCTACAAAAAGCCAATTAACATTTGTTGTATTTTTCATTTGCATTGTTCCCCCATAGGTTAGAACATCGTATTTCTATTGTTCTGTAACTTTTACCATTAAGGTTGTTGGCTAGCACTTTCCATATTTAAAAAAAAAAAAAAAAAGAAGATCTGACTTTGTATGTAGCCCAGGCTGGCCTCAAATTCAGCTTCCCAGATCCTGACTTGCACCACCAGGAGGTGTTTTCCTAAATGTAACCAAGGACTGGGAAGAAGGCTCCAGGGATAAGATGCTTGCCTGCACTGGGACAGAGTTCAGATCTTCAGAACCCACGTGGGTGCAGCTGCTGCCAGTAATCCCAATGCTCAGGAACTGGAGACAGGATCCCCTGGGCAAGCTGGCTAGCTAGACCAGCCACAGTTGACAAGCTCAGAGTTCAGCAAGAGACCTGTGTCAAAGTGGGAAGTAGTGAAGGAAGACACACGATATGTTTACACACACACACATGAACACACGCAGATGAACACACCAAATACATGTATACACACAAATATAAAGTATATGGGGGGTGGACTGGAGAGATAGCTCAGGGGTTAGGAGTAGTTGTTGCTCTTTCAGAGTACTGGAGTTCGGTTCCCAGCACCCATGTCAGACAGCTCACAATTGCCTGTCCACCTCCAGGGGATCCAGCGCCCTCTTCTGGAATCCACAGGCACCAACACACACACACACACACACACACACACACACCATGCTGTCAAAGGCACACAGTAGTCCTGAGAACCCACCATAACTCTGTGCATACAGAGTCACTCGGCCAGGCAGAACCTTTCATTCGCACCCCCACACACATACTCCTTCCTCTTCCTATGTGTGTTCATGAATGAAGGCCAGAGGAATGTCACATGACATTCTTCAGACATTATCTGCACACACAGGGTCTCACACTGGCCTCAGATGCACTAAGGCTGGGCTGGCTGGCCAGTGGGCTCCAGAGATGCACCTGTCTCTACCTCCAGCACTGGCGTTTTCCAGCTGAGGGATCCCCTTGCTCCCACCCCTCCTTTCTAACTGTTGGGGGACATTGGCTACTGCAGCATGGCGATGTCCCAAGCTTCCTGTGATGTCCCATGGGATGTGCTGGGTGGTGTGGCGGCAGCTGGGACAGGCAGTGTAGAAATGGGACTGACGGCCCGAGCAGGTGCCCTCCAGTGACCCTGTTTGCATTTCTTCCAGGGTGATGACAGTCTGTCCGCAATTACCTTTGATTCCGACTTTGAGACGGTGAGTGCAAGCAGGGTGGCAGACCCCAGGTCAGTGTTCCTTGGATGTGTCTGTAAAATAGTCTCCCCAGATGCTGGTAGGCCCCAGAGCACTGGTGCCCAGAGCTGCTTCTGGTGTAGAAATTTCAGTCTACTAGTTGAATTTAAATGGGAGATGTCAGTTTTAAACTTCTTACTTTTTAGAAATCAATTTCAAGGGCTCGGAATAGCTCAGTTGATAGAGGGTTTACCTAGCAGGCATGAAGCCCTGGGTTCCGTCTCTAACACTGCATAAACTGGGCACGGTGGTACATGCCTGTAATCTAGCATTTGGGAGGTGGTGGAGGCAGGAGGATGAGTTTAATGTCACCTGGCCTGGGCTACTTAAGACCCTGCCTCAAACAATAGCAGCAGCAACAACAAAATAATAATAAAAACTGAGGTTATCATTTTAAAGCTAATTATAGAAATTAATTATGAAGGGCTCAAGAGATGGCTCAGTGATTAAAAGCACTTGCTGCTCTTGCAGAGTCCACAGATGTGATTCCCTGTACCCACACGGAGGCTCACACTGGATCCCCAGAGTGCTAGGAGCTAGTCAGGAAAACTGGCAGAGGTGGTCAGACTAGGAATCACTGTAGAGCCACGCCCTACCCCTCAGTGGGGATTCTAGGCAGGTGCTCTACCACTGAGTCACACCCCAGCCCCTCACTGGGGGATTCTAGGCAGGAGCTCTACCACTGAGCCACACCCCAGCCCCTCACTGGGGGATTCTAGGCAGGTGTTCTACCACTGAGCCACACCCCAGCCCCTCACTGGGGGATTCTAGGCAGGTGCTCTACCACTGAGCCACACCCCAGCCCCTCACTGGGGGACTCTAGGCAGGTGCTCTACCACTGAGCCACACCCCAGCCGCTCACTGGGGGATTCTAGACAGGTGCTCTACCACTGAGCCACACCCCCAGCCCCTCACTGGGGGATTCTAGGCAGGTGCTCTACCACTGAACCACACCCCAGCCCCTCTCTGGGGGATTCTAGGCAGGTGCTCTACCACTGAGTCACACCCCAGCCCTTCTCTGGGGGACTCTAGGCAGGCGCTCTACAGTGGAACTTCACTTCCAGTGCCCCCTGGGGATTAGCTAGCCTCTTGGGTTCTTTGTAAGTTGTGCTGAGCAGCAAAAGAAGCATGCTAAGTACCCACTTAGGGATAAGCCAGTGAAGTTACCCTGAGTGTAGACTTGATTCCAGCTATCCATGAGCTCTGAAGGGACCCGACACAAGAAACCTCAACTGCATTTAGAAGCCTCACAAGCCCATTGTCCCCAAGGAGGAACCTGTGTTGTTATGTGACAAAACCTTTCCTGGGGAGACACAACATACATGTCTCCTCACCCCAGATAGGGATCCTACGACAAAGCAAAGTCCAGATACCACCAAAGTCCACCTTGGTGAGGGGTTACTTAGAGGAATATCGGAGAGAGGTCACTTGATAGGAGCAAAAAATGACTCAAACACAGCCGCATTAACCAAGGCCCACCCAGCATGAGTGACAGCTCACACGGCTGGGGACCTCGAGCACACTGCACACCCTGCAGGAATCTCAACAGATGGAGAATGTCCTTTCCAAGTGACCCAGGTCTTGGAGTCTGAGAATGACTTTGGCAGGGAGGAGCCTAGTGAGTATGGTCAGTTTCGGGGACTTCCTGGAGCTATTTTGAGTTGTTTACCTTTGTGCTTAAGGAGCATCCTGCGGGATGGGATGTTTCAATCTGGGAAGAAATTGTTACACAAGGTGTGTCTGCAGCTAGGAGCTCTCTTCTATGTCATAGGGACATGAGCCCAGGATCCTCAGCCCAGAGGTGATCCTGATGTCACAGGCCTTGTCTCTCTGGGGCATAGAGGACAGTGTTCCCACCAGAGGGGGAGCAGGGCACGTCACATGCTGCGGCCCTCACCCCCAGCCTGAATGGTACTTAGAAGGGCAGGTCACTCTCTAAGGCCCAGTCCTAGAAGCAGCAGAACCTTGTTCCCACTGGACCGCACGAGTGTCTGGTTGCCATGGAGACTGTTTTTCACATACAGTCTTGCTGGGTTTCTCTTCTTTAATGGGGATCTGCCATGAACTTAACTTACCACACCTGCTGTGGGCACACAAGTGCTCACCAGTATGCAGAGCAGGAATGAGGACAGTATAGGAGAGAGACCTCCCCCCACTTTTTTTTTTTTTGACTTTTCAAAACAAGATTTCTCTTTTGTATCCCTGGCTGTCCTGGAACTCGCTCTGTAGACCAGGCTAGCCTTGAACTCAAGATCTGCCTGCCTCCTAAGTACTGGGATTAAAGGCTTGTGCTACGATGCCCAGAGAGAGTGGCCTTTTTGGCTCCCAGCCCCTGGCCCTGGCCCTCCCATGCATGGGGCACACTCTGGAGTACCTCAGACCTCAGAGGTCTGCCCTGGCCAGGGTCCCCGTCAGGGCCTGTCTCTTCATGGCTCACTCAGCGTGGTGAGCTTTTCCAGCAGTGCCACTGAGGCCTCTCAGAATGCCCAGCGTGCTTCACATTGTTTCTTCTTTCTTCCAGAAAACGAAAAGAAAAGATTTTCACAAACCTCCTCCCACATCACCGAGTAAGTATGACTAGATAGATGCACTGTTCCCTCATCCCCACTGTGACTCTGCAGTGTGGCAAGAATGGTCTTTCCCCTGGGTCCCAGAGAAAGGGAAGGATGTTGCTTTTCTGGTGAGGGGACTCGGAGGGGACTCAGTGGTGCAGCTGGAGGGGAGACTCGGTGGCAGCAGGATTTCCTGAGTTTGTTTTGGGACCCCATCCCAGAGCGCTGTGCAGGTCACTGTCCCACGGAGCTGTCCCATAAGACTACTGCATGAGCAGGGCTTGCCTTTACTTCTTTTTGAGTTCTCAGGCCAGGGGACAGCTGAAGTGAAAGGAAGCCTGTGTGTGTGTGTTCACACACCCATGTGCATGTGTGCACACATAGGTTTACACACCCATATGCATGTGGACATGAGTATTTGCACATTGAAACCCCTAGGTGTAGCTTGAGTTTTCCTGCCTGACCCAGGGTCAGGGCAAATCTCTCTCACCTGCCAGTCCCACAGCCGCTCAGACCCGACCAAGTAAACACAGAGACTTATATTGGTTACAAACTGTATGGCCGTGGCAGGCTTCTTGCTAACTGTTCTTACAGCTTAAATTAATCCATTTCTATAAGTCTGTACCTTGCCACATGGCTCATGGCTTACCAGCATCTTCACACGCTGTTTGACATCGTGGCGGCTGGCAGTGTCTCTCTGACTCAGCCTTCCACTTCCCAGCTTTATTCTCCTCCTTGTCCCGCCTACACTTCTTGCCTAGCCACTGGCCAATCAGTGTTTTATTTATTGACTAATTAGCAACACATTTGCCATACAGAACATCCCACAGTACCTAGGCCCTGTTGTTCATCTTGTTTTCTGACATAGGTTCTCTCGTTAGTCTGGAACTCAGTTAGTTTAGACTGGCTGGCCAGTGAGTCCCTGGGATCTGTCCATCCTCACTTCCCCAGCACCAGGATTGGAGGCATGTGTTACCATGTAGGCTTCTGTGTGGACCCCAGGGATCACACTCGGGTCCCTGTGCTTGTGAGGCTGTCTCCCCAGGCCTCTAAAAGGATGCTTCTGACCGAGGATTTGCTCTCGAGCAGTGGATGGGCCTGCGCTGGGGAGGGGTGTGTGTTCCTAGATGGAAGGGCTGTGCGACTTTCACCCCTGTAGGACCGCTGGGCTTGTTCTGCTACCGAGGCCTCAGCAGGACAAGGACAGCTTTGTCCCTGTCCCTAGCGTTAGCTTAGGGAGGCAGCATTTATTGATCAGGACAGTGATGCGGAAATAGGGTTGATCTGGTGCCAGCAAGGCCTCCTGATGTTGGGTGTCACTGTCACCATGCTCCAGGGCTCAGTGACCCGTGTGTCAGTCTGTGCTGGAGTCTCGCTGACAAGTGTGAAGTCCTACACTTGTTATCCCAAAACTATAGGGACCTGACCTTTCCGTGTGTGTGTGTGTGCGCGCGCACATATGACTTCTCTGTTTTTGTTGAGACAGTCTCATAGCTCAGGCTAGCCTCAAAATCACTCTGTAACTGAGGATAACTATGTATATTATATATGTGTGTATGTATATATAATATATATATTATATATTAACTGTAAAACCAGATATGGTGACATACATCTATAGTTTGACTAAATATGCTAGGCCAGACTGCAGATATCGCTCAGTGGCAGACCATCTGCCTAGAATCCCCAGTGAGGGGCTGGGGTGTGGCTCAGTGGCAGACCACCTGCCTAGAATCCCCCAGTGAGGGACTGGGGTGTGGCTCAGTGGTAGAGCACCTGCCTAGAATCCCCCAGTGAGGGGCTGGGGTGTGACTCAGTGGTAGAGCATCTGCCTAGAATCCCCCAGTGAGGGGCTGGGGTGTAGCTCAGTGGTAGAGCATCTTTCTAGAATCTCCCAGTGAGGGGCTTGGATATGACTCAATGCCCCAAGTTCTGTTTCAAGATGGTTAGAAAAGAAAATCTCTTGAGGGGCTGGATTTATGGCTCAGTGGCTAAAAGCACTTTCCGCTTTTCCAGAGAACCTGCATTTGGTTCCGGGCACCCACTTGAAACTGTGTGTAACTCCAGCTCCAGGGGATCTTATGCCTCTTTCACTGTGACTGCACTCACCCACACACAGACATACATACCTCACCAGTCATTAAAATCATAAAAATAAATCTTCAGAAAGCAAAAAAAAAAAAAAATAAGAGTGTCTCTTGAACCCAGGGTTTCTATCAATATAGGAAGACCTCACCTCAAAGTCAGTCGGTCAGTAAATAAAAATCATTATACTTCTTGGTATTTGCCAGCGTGTGTTCCTCCTGGAGCGCCCTCTGCGTGTTGCATTTGACCAGTTTTTATCTTTGTAAAGTGAAGGTGTCGAGGCACAGCGACTCCACAGCTGTTAAACTGCATGTTACCTCCCCAGAGTCACCTTACTACTCCAAGCCCAGAAAAGCGGCATCCTGGCGGTCTCTGAAGACAGCAGGGAGCATGCCTCTGAGCAGCAGAATGTCCTTGACCCCACAGAAGCTGTGGATGGGAGCCTCGAAACAGGGTACGTGGCTCTCCTGTGGAGGGTGCTCCGGCTTAAGACAGAGTTTGGGAAATAGCAGATGATTTGAGACAGCGTGTATGAGCGTGTGGTTTCAGTGAGCTTGTCTTTTATCTTCTCCAAGATACTGAACATGTCACTGGTGGGCATGGCTTTTCCAGGCCCACCTGAGGACACTCTAGCCCCATTTGATCAAGGTTATTTCAGCGCTGCCCAGTGACAGAGGTGTGATGGAGCCTTTTCCTACCAGCTTGCAGGAGATGAGTGTTAAGGTTTCTGTGAGCTGGTCTTTGTCACACTGGAAGCCTGAAGTGGGAATGTCTACACCAGGGAAATGGGTTCCCTGGGTTGTGAGCTGCTTGTTAGGCATTTACCAGTATACTCCATCTCCTGGCATCCTCCAACCTTGGAGCATGATGAGAGATAGAGCTTCGCAGACTATATGCTTGTACCTGTTAAACCCATGCACATTCAAACCAGGAAGTGTGACCCAACCCCTGAGCTCCATGCTTACCTCGGAGCACGTGTGGACCCCCCCCCCCCCCAACTGCACTCCTGACCACCTGACAGAAGCCATGAGAGCAAAGAGGGCAGACCTCAGGCGTTCTGGCAGCCATGGTGAGCATGCTCCCAGGAACAAGGCCAGGAGAGCAGAAAGGAAAGCCTCTAGCAATTGAGGGGTGAGATTTTTTTGGCTTTATGCACGAGCTCCATCTGTAAGACATTCTAGAATGTTCTGAGGGACAGTGATTCATGAAGAGAGTCTCATAGCCAAGCCATCGTGTCACCCTCCTTCAATAGAGTTACATTTAAGCTCCTTGGGTGTGGGTGGGCTGTGTGTGTGCTGTGGCATGCATGTGGAGGTCAGGCATTCCCTTCCTGCCACCCTGGGGGCCCTGGGTGGAAGTCAGGTCTTGAGGCTTGGTGACAAGTGCTGTTACCTGCTGGTTCCTGGTTTGTTCCTTACTAGTGTTTTCCCATGGGGCCTGTTGGCCTCTCTGGGCCTTCACCAAGAGGAACAGCTCTCCAACATGGTGAGGCTGGCTCCATGTCCCTCTGAACCAAATCTATTGATTAGGGTTATGGTTTAGGCTTATTTGGGTATTTTGGATTTATAACTGGTTACGCATCATTAAAACCTCCATAAGTGGAGAGCTGGCTCATGGGGTTAGAGCACTTGCTATTCAAACAGGGACCTGAGTGCAGATCTCAGCACCCACGCAAAAAGCCAGGTATGTTCCCAGTAACCCAGCATTGTGGTGGACAGAAACGGGAGGACCACCAGGGCCTTCTGCCTGCCAGCCTAGCACTGGAATCGGTAAGAGACGCTGTCTCAAGGGAATGAGGCAAAGAGCCATAGAGCAGGACTCCAGATGTCCTCCTCTGGCCTTTGCATGAACACAGGCTCAAGACACACACACACACACACAGACAGACACACACACACACACACACAGAGACACAGACAGACACACACACAGACACACACAGACACAGACAAACAGACAAACACAGACACACACACACACACACACACCCTCAGTCAGCCAGACTGGAGGGCACTCTCTTGTCTCCCTAGTACTCAGAAGGCTGAGGCAGGAGCATCTTGAACTGTAGGCAGTCTGGGCTATCCAGCAAGACTCCTCGATCTTAGCAAACAAACTAGTATGGTTTTATTAACTCTCAGGTTTCCCTCCAGGCATAACAGAGGTCCTTTCTACTGTCCCAGGATGTCCTAAGAGGTGTGTGTGTCTTCCTCCAGGTCACGTCTCTGGGACTTGTGTCTACAGAGAGAAGGAGGACATGTATGATGAGATCATGGAGCTGAAGAAGGTAGGGTCCCCTCTGCGCCTCTCTGATAGCCTTTCTGACTGACTGAAAGTGTCAGTCACGTGGAGGCCACGCCCTGGCACTGTACTCTAGGAGCTGGCTGTCCTGGGAAGGGAAGGCCTGTCCACCAACTGCAGAAGAGGCGGTGGGCTCACCAGGCATGGTGGTGCTTGCCGGTCATCCCAGCACTGAGGAGATAGAGGGGAGAGTAAGGTGTTCAAGGCCAGCTGGGCAACATAGTAAATTCAAGGATAACCAGGGATACATGGGACCATGTCTCCTAAATGTAAACACGCCAGCTGTGCAGCAGCAAAAGGACCCCCTGAAAAGGACTTGCAGCCCCTCTGTGGACATTCCCAGCTGAGGCAGGGCTGCCATTGGAAGTAGTGTAGAGGGGTTCCTGCTCTGCCTGGGAGACCACTAAGTGGATAGCCCCCAACAGTGAATCACTGTTATAAGTGGTACCTTGTAACAGTGGGAGCCATAGTTTTGGGCTAGAAACAGGCCTCTGGGGAAATGACCCTGACTTTATTTAAACTCATTGTTGTAAGTTGGAGATCTGCGTGAGGGGAGTTGGAGACATAGTAGTAGACTACTTTCAGAATGTGCATGGCACAGTGTTCCATTGTGGAACAGCAGAGTGCTGTGTAGAATCAGTCTCACGATAAGGGCCTCAGAGTGTGGCTCAGTGGTGGAGCCCCTGCCTAGAATCCCCCAGTGAGGGGCTGGGGTGTGGCTCAGTGGTGGAGCCCCTGCCTAGAATCCCCCAGTGAGGGGCTGGGGTGTGACTCAGTGGTAGAGCACCTGCCTAGAATCCCCCAGTGAGGGGCTGGGGTGTGGCTCAGTGGTAGAGCACCTGCCTAGAATCCCCCAGTGAGGGGCTGGGGTATGGCTCAGTGGTGGAGCCCCTGCCTAGAATCCCCCAGTGAGGGGCTGGGGTGTGACTCAGTGATAGAGCACCTGCCTAGAATCCCCCTGTGAGGGGCTGGGGTGTGGCTCAGTGGTAGAGCACCTGCCTAGAATCCCCCTGTGAGGGGCTGGGGTGTGGCTCAGTGGTAGAGCACCTGCCTAGAGTCTCTCAGTGAGGGGCTGGGGTGTGGCTCAGTGGTAGAGCACCTACCTAGAGTCTCTCAGAGGGGCTGGGGTCATGGCTTAGCAGTAGTGTGCCAGCCAAGTACACACAAGGCCCTAGCTTCAATCTCAGAACTGCAAAAAGTAAAATTAAATAAGAGTTGACTACAGGATCTTGGCCACAGGTGGATGTTGGGAGCACCTCTCCCCACACACAGCTGAGGGCTAGTATTCCTTCATTATTATTATTTTTTTTTAATCGTGTGTGTGTGTGTGTGTGTGTGTGTGTGAGAGAGAGAGAGAGAGAGAGAGAGAGAGAGAGAGAGAGAGAGGGAGGAGAGAGAGAATGTGTGTGCCCCTGTGTGCATGTGCGTACAGAGGTCTATGGAGGCCAGAAGAGGGCATTGCATCCACTAGAGTGGGAGAAATAGGCAATTTTGAGTAACCCACTGAGGGTGCTGGGAACCCAACCCAGGTCCTCTGCAAGGGCAGTATGTGCTCTTAACTGCTAAGCCATCTCTCCAGCCCTGTGGTATTGCTAAGGAGCATCAATCAGTCTGTGTTATGTAGTATGACAGACGGAATCAAGTAAAGACTTTGGGACTTTCCAGGGCCAAAGTTCACAGTCTTAAAAGTATTTCTCAGCTGTTTGCCATTGGTGTTAAATGGGAAAGGTGTCAGGTGCAGTGCCTTTTCCTGCACCCACGAGTGTTGGAGTGACCCTTATGGGGTTGAGACAGGGTCTGTCTGTATAACAGCCCTGGCTGTCCTGGAACTCACCCTGTAGACCAGGCTGGCCTCGAACTCACGGAGATCCACCTGGCTCTGCCTCCTGAGTGCTAAGATTAAAGGCGTGCGACACCACTGCCCAGCTGTTGTTTGTTTGTTTGTTTGTTTTGGCCCTGCCCAGCTTTTTAAAAAATTTTAAAAAGATGTATTTTATTTTTATCAATGTATTGTTTTCATGTACATCTGCAGGCCAGAAGAGGGCATCAGATCCCATGGGTTCTGTGGCATGGAAGGTTGTAAATTCTTAATTGCTGAGCCATCTCTTCAGCTCCTGTAACACCCTGGGCTTTAAAAACCTCTTTCAAAGCCAAGTGTGGCTGTAATCCCAGCAGTTGGGAAACTGAGGCAGGAGAATTGCTGCCAGGTCTAGGCTGGCATGGGGTGTTAAGACTCTAAAGAAAAAGAGAGAGAAGGAGCCTCCCCAACTCACGGATTCACTGTACTTATGCAGACTGTATGAATGTGGCCCTCCTTTTCTTTGTTTTTGGTTGATTGGTTGGGTTTTGTTTTTACATTTATTTGTTTTGTGTGTGCATAAAGGTAAGAGAATGACTTGGGGGAAGAACAACTTCCACTCTGTGTGTGTGTGTGTGTGTGTGTGTGTGTGTGTCCATCCTGGGGATTGAACTCAGGCTTGGTGGCAAGCCCCTTTACCTGCTGAACCATCTAGGCAGCCCACCTCCTTTTCTTCTGCAGTCCTTACATATGCAGAAAAGCGATGTGGATCTGATGAGAACAAAGCTTCGGCGCTTGGAAGAGGAGAACAGCAGGAAGGATCGGCAGATAGAACAGCTTTTGGATCCAGGTCGAGTAAGTCCCAGGGCCCACAGAGGCCTCTGCTGCTGCTGGTGCCAGTGGTGCTGTGGGAAGCAGGGGGAGGAAGAGCCACGTGACCTTAATGTCTCCGTCTGCTTCCCACAGGGCCCAGACTTCGTTCGAACCCTGGCCGAGAAAAAGCCCGACACTGGTTGGGTGAGTAGAGCCGCCTGCTCTAAGGAAAGCCTTCCACTGAGATCAGAGTGGAGCTAAGGGAAGGGGCATGGGCTCAGAACTCTCTGGAAGTGTTGTTCGTAGCGTCAGAGAGGTCACAAGATAGTACTTTGAGGTACTTCAGAGGGCAGCAGGAAGGTAGAAGACACGCCACGTCATCCCAGTGAGGCCTGCCGGGGAGAGAGTGTGCAGCCCTGGCTTTAGTCTCCAGAGCAGGGCCTGGGAGGGAACCTGAGTTAAATAAGAAAATAGAAGGAGGCACTTGGGAGTTCAGGGTCAGCCTCTGCTCCGTAGAGTTAGAGGCCAGCCTGGGGGACATGAGACCCTGTCTCAGAATACAAAAAAACCCTCAACAACAACAACAAAAGCAGGGTCTCAATGAACAACTTGAGAATTACATCCAAACCACAGTTTCTGCTTTAAGACAGGGTTGGGAGGGTGTGGAATATGTCATTGTCCCCATGAGTCAGGAGGGTGCAAGGAGTAAGAGAGCGGTGGGTTAATGGGCTGGACGACATGAAGAAATGGTAGCAAAGCCTTCAGACTAAAGGGGATTGCAAGAGTGCCCCAAAGCGGGGCCTTAGGTTACAGCAGTGTTCTCTGTAGGAGTATGCAAAATGTCTGTGGTCACCAGGGATATTCCAGACGTAAGATCTGGGAGATAGGACCAGCAAGGCTGGCATCAAGGCACTTGCCACCAAGCCTAATGGCCAGAGTCCCGTCCTAGGAATCTATATAGAAGGAGACTTCAGTCTCTGGAAGTTGTCCTCTGACCTCCATATGAGGGCCATCGCATGCATTCTCCACCCCAACCCTAACATTAATAAATGCGATAAAAATATTTTAAGAGGGGTTGGAGATTTAGCTCAGTGGTAGAGCGCTTGCTAAGGCCCTAGGTTTGGTCCTCAGCTCCGGGGAGAAAATAAAAATGTGTGTGTGTGTATAAATATATATATATATATTTAAGAGTCTGGCTGAGCAGTGGTGACACACGGCTTTAATCCCAGCACTCAGGAGGCAGGGGCAGACGGATCTGTGTGAGTTCAAGGCCAGCCTTGTCTACAGATCAAGCTCCAGGACAGGCATCAAAACTACAAGGAGAAACCCTGTCTTGAAAAAAAACAAACAAACAAAAAAAAATTTTAAGAGTCTGAAAATAGCAGATATATAACACATCGTATAGAAATACACATTTAGCATAAATGATTAAAGACATTCTGTGTTTAGGACTCAAAGTCAACACCTACCTAACACTTGCGAATGGTCAGTATATGACCACAAGAAAATACTTATTTAACAGTGTCTTGCTATGTTACCCAGGCTGCCCTGGAACTTGTGGTCTCAAGCAGTCCCCAGTGTCAGCCTCTCAAGTGCTCAGACCACAGCCCACACTGCTGACTCAAGAAAATGTCTTTGTTATTGTTGTTTTTGAGACAAGGTTTCTCTGTGTAGCCCTGGCTGTCCTGGAACTCACTCTGTAGACCGAGCTGGCCTCTATCTCAGAGATCCACCTGCCTCTGCTTCCTGAGTGCTGGGATTAAAGGTGTGCACCACCACTGCAAGAAAATGTCTTAGAAAACAACAAATCCTGAAGTTGTGACTGTACAGCCAGTGTGTTTGTGACCTCATTTCATCTTCTGGAAGAGGGATCTGTGTGTGTGTGTGTGCGTGCGCGCGTGTGCGTGTGTGTGGTGCCTGTGTGCTACTGTCTACACCTCCCCTGTGCTGAGGTTACAGGGACACAGGCCTTGTTTGTGGCTGCTGGGGATCCGAATCCAGTTTCTCATGCTTCTGCAACAAGCACCTGAGCTACAGAGCCATCTCCCCAGCCCCTCATTTTAAAAGCAAGAAAAGGAAGTTCAGAGGTTTACCCAAATCTGGCTCCTCCCTGCTGTTCCCAGGCTCGGGGAAGGCAGGGATGGCGGTTGTGGTAGACTTGGCTTCTCATCTCCCCAGCACTGCATACTGGGAGGAAAGAACTTATTTTAAGTTACTGAGTAAAACCTTAGCACCATAAAGCAACAGGATTAGCAAGGATGGTGCAAGCCAGATTTGGCAGGGCCTAGATAAGAAGAGCAGTGCTCAGAACCTACACCCGAGTGTTAGTGTTGGCGAGGCCTGCACGTCGGGACCCAAGCACCGGAGCCTGCTCTGTCCTGCTGCTCTTGATGGACTCACCCGTCACCTACCCAGGGACGATGATAGCTGCCCAGTCAGCAGTTTGCAAAGCCATCCTGAGTGGTACATAGCAGCCTCAGAATACTTCGGTTAATTGAAAAGTATTTTTATATTTGTCTGTTTATTGGAGGGGCACTTACATACCAAGGTGTACATGTGGAGGTCAGAGGACGGTTTGTGGGAGTCAGTTCTCTCCTCCACCCTGTGGGTTCCAGGGATCCAACTTAGGTCATCAGACTTGGTGGCAAGGGCATTTACCCACTGAGCCATCTTGCCAGGCCCCACTGGTAAGCTTTTTAAAGAATATTTTCAAATTCCAGCATAGTGTTGCAGACTTACAACCCCAGCATTCAGGAGATGGAGGCAGGAGGATCAGAAGTTCAAGGTCATCTTGGAGTAAAGAAGGATTTTAAGGCCAGTCTGGGCTACATGAAACCTTGTCTCAAAAAGGAAAAAAGAAAGTATATATCTAATAGTGTAGTATTAATTAAAATGTTTACTTAGGACATTGGAGGATGTTGTAGAATTCATTAATGAATGAACAGATAGTTCCATAAAGAATCCCTGTCTTTTTTAATTTTTAATTTTCTGTGTGTGGGTGTTTTGTCTGCATGTATGTCTGTGTGCCACATGTATGGCTGGTGCCCTCCAAGGTCAGAAGGAAGGGAGGCATCATGTTCCCTGGAATCGGAGTTAGAGATGGTTGTGAGCTGCCACATGGGTGCTGGGAATTGAACCTGGGACCTTTGGAAGAGCAGCCAGTGCTTTTAACTACTGAGCCATCTCTCCAAGCCAAGCCCTGTATTTTTATTGTTCCAATGCCAAGAGTGTGTATGTGTGAGTGTGTGTATGTGTGTCTGTCTGTCTGTGTCTGATGTGTGTGTGTCTGTGTGTAAGTGTGAAGTTGGTTCAAAGTAGCAATTGTGAGCCAGTCCTGGTAGCCCAAGCTTGTAATTCAGCACTCAGGAAGCTGAGGCAGGAGGATCAGAAGTCAGACACCAGCCTGGGCCACACAGAGAGACCCTCACTTTAAAAAAGTTGTTTAGGTTGTGAGGGAAATAGCTCCCCAAGGAGACATGAAGACGGGAAGGCTCGGGCCTGGTGGAACAGCCCCTTGACCTTGGGCAAGGACTTGCTGGGTCCCAGTGGATCCCAGGCACAGGACAGCATCCCGGTTCCGGTGACTTCTTTGTTACTAAGCAACTGACTGTACATGCAGCCCTCTCGTCCAGTTCACAGTGTGTTACCTAGGACAGCTGCCTCAGGGCTCTGAGGGTTGGCTGCTGCCCTCTGACCCTGCATCTTGCTCTCCCAGTCACTTACTCAGCACCCCTCAGTGAGGGAGCAAGTTGATAGAAAGAAGGTCGAAGGCTGTAGGGTCTCCCAGGAGGGGGTACCTGACTATCCTGGGGACCCCGCAGGCCGAGCCCTCAGTGGGTGGCTGTGCTGAGGTGGTGGCCCTCTGCTGGCAGGTCATCACCGGGCTCAAGCAAAGGATCTTCAGGCTGGAGCAGCAGTGCAAGGAAAAGGACAACACCATCAAGTACGACCTGAGGGGCAGGTGGGAGGTCCCCAGTGTCTGTGGGCGCTGCGCTGGGCCAGCAGAGACGGACCTCTCCCCCATCCACCCTTTCCTTGTTGGGTTTCTTCTCCCTTCCTGCCACGTCTTTGTTCAGACCTCAAACTATGAGAAATCTTGGCTCCTTCTTCCCCTGAATGTCATGGTGGGAGGCAAGCACTCTACCACTAGGCAGGTGCTCTACCACTGAGCCACACCCCAGCCCCTCACTGGGGGATTCTAGGCAGGTGCTCTACCACTGAGCCACACTCCAGCCCCTCACTGGGGGATTCTAGGCAGGTGCTCTACCACTGAGCCACACCCCAGCCCCTCACTGGCCTCGAACTCACAGAGATCCACCTGCCTCTGCCTCCCAAGTGCTGGGATTAAAGGCATTTGCCACCACCACCTGGCAAGGCTCAGCCTTTTCTTTAATTTGAATTCCCTCCAAATTTCATTAGGAAACAGCATTTCTCTTCAACTTTTTACTCCCCGATCCCCGTCAGTATGCAGTTCACCGCTGAGGTCCAGTGTGAACATTCTGGGTCTGGATTCCAAGACCTCTCAGCAGACACTGTGCTACGCCCCCAGCCTCATGACCCTGCATCCTCCCTGCTGCTTTCTGGTGTCACTAACATAAGGGATAATCTTAGATGTGGTTAAGTCCATTTCAGGGAAACAGGCAACCTGTCTGCACCTGTGGCCCTGTTCCTACAGCATTTCTGCCCCTCTCTTGTTTCTTGATGAAGTTGGCAATGTGAGTCTGGGTGTGTGCTGATTGCCTGTTTTGTGCCCTGAGCTCTGCTTTCTCCTGTGCCTTCTTTCTGAAGTGTGTGACATATTGAGGGCAAGGTGACAGTGCTGTTGGGGGCAGGGGAGCAAAGGATTTGCTTTTATTTATCTTTGTCTTGTTTTGAGACAGCATCATGCTATGTAGCCCAGACTGAGCTTAAATTCCCAGTCTTCCTGTGCCGGCCTCCTGAATGCTGGGATAACATGTATGTGTCACTACACCTGGCTCTCTGATTCTTCTTTATAAAGTGGGCTGTTGTGCTCTAAAAGTGACCCAAGGGCCAGGGTCCTTTGGTACCACTGACCCCAGTGTTTCAGGGTAGCCTTTCTTAGAGAAGACTAATCTGTTGATGGTGTGAGGCTCTTAGGGCAGTGGCTGGTGTGAGTGTTCCAGAAGTATGGACACATGGCGAAGGCCCATGCCAGGCTTCTCTTTCTCGTTGCTGTCCTATCTGACTTCTGGGAGTCCCTCCTCCTCTGCCTGTCCTGGGTGTTGTTAGTCCCACCATGTTAACTCTGAACTTGGGTTTCCAGCAAACTGCAGACCGACATGAAGACCACCAACCTGGAGGAGATGCGCATCGCCATGGAGACATACTATGAAGAGGTGTGTCCACCCTGCAGCATGTGGTCAGGGAGGATCCTGATGCCTGAAACCTGCAGCTGTGCATGCGCTCGGATGCAGTGGCCGTGCCGAGTCATCACAGCAAAGCCACAGCGTAGTTTTCTCTCCCTGCATGAAGCCAGAGTCGGGAGCCTGACTGTAGACTGGGGAAAGCTGCCCGCCTCTGTTGTGGTTCTGACACCTGCTCTTTGCTTCCTCGCAGATCCATCGTCTGCAGACCCTCCTGGCCAGTTCTGAAGCCACAGGAAAGAAGTACGATCGCATGTGGGGTCTCCTGTCTTTGTGCTGTCAAGGCTGCTCTGAGAGCCAGGTGGCCCTGACCTGCCATGGGCTCGCGTGCCTGCCCCCACCCCCACCCCCACCCCCCGCTTTTCTTGGCAGTTGTGCAGTGCTTACTGTGTGGGGTGTGTGTGTTGTGTTCATGTGTACACATTTGTGTGTATATGAACATGTGTGCACATAGGGAGACCACCAGTCAACATCAGCTATCTTCGTCTATTGATAGCTTTCCACCCTATTTTCTGAAACAGAGTCGCACATGGGACCTGGAGCCCCAAGTTTCTCCCGTCCATGTCTCCCCAGTGCTGGGATTACAGGTACACACTGCCAGTGCCTGGCTTTTAACTGGGGTGCTCCGGTCTTCATGGTTGTTACCACTGAGCCCTCCACTGTTCCTGATGGTCACATTGATGCGTATCTATTGGCCTTGTTACAGCCTCCTTTGTTCTTACTGCCTGCTGACACCACACGTGTCTATGCTCTGAGAGTGAACTGTAGATGCCCCATGGCAGCTTCCAGCCTAGAACTGGAGAGCACTGGTTTTCAGAGCAGGCTCCGCCTTACTTGTTTGAAATAAGCTTTTTGTTTTGTTGTTTTGCTTTTGATAATAATGTTTTCCCAAGTTGAGGTCTCCTTACTGTGTTGACTGCACCCATCTTTCCCAAATGCTACAAGGCCAAAATGCCAACCATCCTAGTACCCACACCCAGCAGCCTACAGTGCCTCAACTTCGGCTCTGGGGGATCTGATGCCGCTGGCCTCCACAGACACCTGCACACAGACGTGTGTGTGTGTGTGTGTGTGTGTGTGTGTGTGTGTGTGTGTGTGTAAAGAAAACAAATCTATCCATACCACAGGCTTGTACATAAGTTGCCAGCTCCAGGTGTAGCTGTCCTTTTTCTCCTTTGCCCCCAGTCACTGCAGACAGCCACTGGAAAACATTCTCTTAAAGAGCCATATAGGGCTGAGGAGGCAGCTGCATGCTAAAGCACTATTCAGTTGTGCAAAACAAAGCCAGGCATGTTGGCATGTGCACTGTAATCTCAGTGCTGGCGGGGTGGGGAGTCCAGAGGACCAAGGAATCATACAGCAGAAAGATCCAATCCATGAGACGTGCTGGCTGCCAGCCTAGCTCCAGGTTCAGGGAGAGACCCCGTCTCAAGGGAATAAGGTGGAGAGTGACAGAGCAGGATACCTGATGTCCTTCTCTGGCCCCGGTACCCATGCACACATGTACATACGCTGCACACACATGTGCACACACACAAAGACCAGATAAATAAAGTCAGTTCTGTTATTTGCAGGAAGTAAGTATCCTGTGACGTTCCAGGGATACTGAGTTAGTAAATACTGAAACACTGGTCCTGGGCAGTAGATTCAGGCTTAGGTCCCTGTGTTCATTTGTTAAATTTTCACCAAGGAAGATACTGAGATTGGTGGTGTGTGTGTTTCTCTTTAAAGAAATGTAATATCTATCATTGATTCACTATACTGTACAGTGATTTTCTAGGACTAAGCCAGAGGCCAAGAGAGCTGCACCACAGCCTTGGAACACTAGGCGGCGCTTGGCACCCTGTTCTTGGCACTTTAGTGCCTTATTTATGTATGTATATATTTAAATAAATACATGGTGGTCCTGAGAAAGGAACCTAAGGCCTCCTGTGTGCTGGGTAAACATTCCCCCCAACTGTGCTGCATCCCCAACCTGCTCCTTGGCCACTTTATACTCCAGCACAAAGTACAAAAAAAAAATAAAACAGAGGTCATCCTGGTAACACACCCACATCACAGCAACACTCAGGAGGTGAAGGCAGGAGGATCCTGAGTTCCAGGACAACCTGGGATACATATGGAGACCCATTTTCAAAAATGGGGGGCACTGGGGATATAACAGTTGGTAGAGCACTTGCCTGGCATTCCTGTGTCAAAACAATTAAGTGAAATAAAAACTGGAATTGATTCTGTCAGTGGAGTTACCATTTCACTAATACTCATGTGTAGAAGCCAGAACCTGGGAAGAAGCCATGTTCCTGTCTTGAGATGTTTGTGAGTCAGTCTGGAAGTGTGACCCTCACCTTGTCACTTGCTTATCCCTAGGCCCATATTGGAGAAGAAGATGGGTATGAAGAGGCAGAAGAAGATGAGCAGCGCCCTGCTGAACTTGACCCGGAGTGTGCAGGAGCTGACAGAGGAGAACCAGAGCCTGAAGGAGGACCTGGACCGCATGCTGAGCAATTCTCCCACTGTCTCCAAAATAAAGGGTAGCTGCCCATAGGCCACTCACAGAGGGAGACACAAGGAGACAGGTCATGTCTTATTCTGTGGTGAAAGATAGGAATCAGGCCCCATTCAAACGTGGAGAACTTGGCCACAGGCCTCACAGCAGACATAGCCCCTTACCTGTGTCAAAGGGCTTGTCAGTAGGACGGGTGCTCCACACTGGTCCAGGGAGAGTCCAGGTAGCCTGGGCCCGCGGCTGTGGGTATGTAGGAAGAGATTGGTTCTGGGGCTCTAGAATGTGGGGCCTGCAAGAAACGAGAGGATCGGAGAGCTGCAAGCTCTGGGTCTGTTGCTTTGTTTTGCAATACTAGGGATGGAACCCAGGACTAATGGGGACCAGGGGAGGGCTCTACTGCTGAGGTGCACTTCTGGCCATAGGCCCCAGGGCTTTTTGTCTGAGCTATGGAGGCAACAGAGGTGACCTTTTGGGGAGGGGGAGTGGTTGAGATCTGAGGCAGGTACCCGCCATGCTGGAGAACTGGATGTGTTGGTCCCTGGCAGAGAGACTCAAGTGATGGCACCCTGCAAGATGGGCGCTAGAGAAGAGCAGAGCCGAGTCTTAAGCCTGGGGCCTTTAGAAGGTTAGGTAATGAGGGACAGCTAGTAACGCATGGTCAGCAGTGGCAGAGTGACCGCATGAAGGCCAGGCCTTGAGTGTCTGAGGTGTGACGAGTGAGACTAGCATTTGGAGTTTAGCAAAATGAAAATCATCGGGCTGGGGATGTAGCCTAGTGTGCATGGAGCCCCAAGTTCGAGCTCCATCAACTCATAAACCAGGCATGATAGAGCATGCATCTCAGTACACAGGAGATGGAGGCAAAAAGATCAGAAGTTCCAGGTTGTCCTCAATTATATAGGTTCGAAGCCAGCCTGGCTCACATGAGATAAGAAACTCTCGGGTGACAAGCACCTGCCCCTCTGGTGTCTGTGGCTTGGCTGTCAGTCTGCAGTGGGAGGCTGGGAGTCCATGTCTGGGAAGAGTAAACCCCATTGCCCTCCTTAGGTTACGTGGACTGGAGCAAGCCCCGGCTGCTAAGACGCATTGCAGAGTTGGAAAAGGTAAGGCAGGTCTAGTGTCTCATCAGGGTCTGCCTGGCTAAGGCCTCTGTGTGATGTAGTGGGGATACAGAGTTGCAGAGTGAGATAAGTCACTCAACATATATAATAGGGGTGCTCAGCAGGCCTGACCACATACGCAGGAAAGACAATACTCCTGCAGGTCTGGACAAGACTTGACGTTGGGTCATTCACAGCCCTCATTTTATAGAGGGCCAGGCCCAAGAACCCATTCCTGGGCTTCCTGTAGCCATAGACCATGAAGTGCCTGTGTCTAACCTGGTGCACGCATACATCTGCAAATCCCAAACTTTCATATAATACTCAAATTCTTAGCAATCTCTTCATCTCCACTAGTGACCAGCAAACATGGGAGGCTAGCTAGCAGTTCCCCATCCCCCAGCCCCATACCAGCCCCACAGAGGAGTCTGGTTCTGGGGCACCTGTCCATCCTGTTAGGATCTTGAGATAGAATGCCAGGGATATAACTTAGTGATACACTGCTTACCTAGACTCTAGGTAGGGGCAAGGACCATGACTCAGTGGTAGAGCACCTGCCTAGACTCCACAGTGAAGATGGGCGTGTGGCTCAGAGGTAGAGCACCTGCCTAGAATCTTCCAGTGAAAGGCTGGGGTATGGCTCAGAGGTAGAGCACCTGCCTAGAATCTGCTGTTGAAGGCTAGGTGCATGACTTGGTGGTGCAGGATTGCCTAGCATGGGTTGCATGCCCAGTATTGAAAGAAAAAGTTGTGGGCCAGAGTACCCCAGTTGTTTGGCACAGCTGTGCAAAGCCCGAGGGAGAATGTTTTCAGTACAGGCAGGTACTGACAAATGGAAACGTGGAAAAGCAGACCAAGCAGAAAGGGAAAGAAGTTCCTGTGTTGTGAAAATACTTTATAGGTAAAGCATGCTGGGAAATAACAGGAAACCAGGTGCATCCAGAGACCCAGTAGGAAAGGCCTAGGGCGACAGGAGTCACTGTCAGACAGAACTAGACCTGTTTAACATCAAGCCCAAGGGCTGGAGATACCCGAGTTCCAATGTCTGCATCCATCTTGCCTGCCTCCCTCCCTGGTGACCTTTATGGTAGAGTGTTGGTAGTTCTGACCCATAGTCCTGCCTCTGGGCCTAGCCAGCACTCTCCACTTTGGTCTTGGCTTCTGGGAAGGGAGCCTGCTGACTTGGCCCCCACAGTGAAGCTTCTCCCACATGCTGGAGATTGGCTGCCCCTGAATCTCACAGAGGTAATGTTAACAAATGCCTTCATTGCCTCCAGAAAATGAGTTCTTCAGAAAGCCCAAAGCCATCTGCTTCAGATTTGGTCAAGCCAAATCCCCTGGTCCGCTCCTCATCCAATATCTCAGTGCAAAAGCAGTCGAAAGAGGACCAGTCCAAAGAGGACCAGCCCAAAGAGGAGGATCCGTCTGAGGACCAGGAGCATCTCCAAGGAACCGTGAGGATCCTGAAGGGGGAGAGGAGCGCACTGGAGGCACAGCTGTTGGAGAAGGGGTAAGTGCCCGGCCTGGAGGAGTTAGCACATCCCTTTTCACAGCGCTCACACCCCTACCACAGTCTCAGCACCTGGAGGGGTGGAGGCGGCAAGATCACAAGGTCAAGGCTAGCCTCTGTGTCTTAGTTACTTTTAAATTGCTGTGATAAAACTGTGACCAAGGCCACCAGCCCTGCCCACCTTGAAAGCTGTTGGAGGTGAAGGGCCTCAGGCCCCATCCACCTGGAAAGATGGTATGGGAAGAAACACCTACTTACCGCCCCCCTGGGAAGTCCCGGGGCCCCCACCCACCGGAATGCTGGTTGGGAATGCAGGCCTTGTCCCTTCCTCTCCCCTTCTCCCAAGCACACCCCCACCCTAGCAGGGCCTGATTGAGAGGTTAGGGTCTCGAGCCCTGCCCGCTCAGGCCCTGTCCATTTGAGAGCTGGTTGGGAGATGCAGGGCCTCGGCTTCTGCCCACCCATGAGCTGGCTAGGGATGCTAAATTTTTGGTCCCACTCAGGAGCTGACTGGGATTGAAGACCTTAGCCCTGACTGCCTGGGAGCTGGTTGGGGATGCAGGAGTCTCAGGTCCCACCCTCCCAGGAGCTAGTTAGGATTGCAGCCTCGTTCAGCTGGAGAGGTTAGGATGGGAAGTTAGGTAAAGAAGCAGATTTTGCCAGGTATAGCATGTGCCTGTAATCCCAATACAAGGGGGGCTGAGCAGGAGGATCTCGAGTTTGATGTAAGCCTGGCTACATAGCGAAACTCAAAAACCCAAGGTCTGGGGATGTGATTCAGTGTACAGTACTTGCCTAGCATGTGGGATGTAATTCAGTGTACAGTACTTGCCTAGCATGTGGGATGTAATTCAGTGTACAGTACTTGCCTAGCATGTGGGATGTAATTCAGTGTACAGTACTTGCCTAGCATGTGGGATGTAATTCAGTGTACAGTACTTGCCTAGCATGTGGGATATAATTCAGTGTACAGTACTTGCCTAGCATGTGGGATGTAATTCAGTGTACAGTACTTGCCTAGCATATGGGATGTAATTCAGTGTACAGTACTTGCCTAGCATGTGGGATGTAATTCAGTGTCAGTACTTGCCTAGCATGTGGGATGTAATTCAGTGTCAGTACTTGCCTAGCTTGTGGGATATAATGGATGTAACCATGGTACAGAACTTGCTTAGCATGTGGGCCACCTTAAATTCAAGCCCTAGAACCATGGGGTTGGGAGAAGGTAAAAAATGTAAAGGTTCAGGGCTGCCAAACCCTGCAAATTGTGACCCATGTACAGAGCAGGGTCCCTACTTGCCTCATGGCCAATTTCATATGCATTGATGAGAATTGATGGTGAGTTCCTTGTAAAAAACAGCATTTCGTGGAAAGATTTTTAAATCATGATGGTGGGCCTGAGAGCAGATAAAGGAACTTGCTACCAAGCCTGATGGCCTGACTTAGATCCCGGACCCACCTGGTGGGGAGAGAGAACCAGCTCGCCCAATTTTCCTCTGGCCTCCACATGTGCAAGTGCGCATGCTCATACACAGTATATATAGAAATAATTTAAATCATGTTGGTCATTTTGAAGTGCCTTCTGCATTTTCTATCAAGCTGTCATTGCTGCAAAACAAAACAATAAAAAAACCACAGTTCTCACCCCAAGGGGGTTAACAGTTTATTCTGTAGTTATCTCAAATATCGTGCTCCACCGTGGTAGCAGTTTCATGAAGATTTAAAATAACAGAACAAAGAAAGTCCTAAGTCAGGGTGATTTAGAATACACTGGTGGAAGCCACAGGTAGGTGGGTACAGTGGAGTGGGGAAATCTCCACTAAGGCTTCAGGTGCTGTCTAGGGACATTCTTTTTGTTTGTTTTGTTTTGTTGGTTTTGTTTGTTTGTTTGTTCTTTGGGTTTTTTTTTTTTTTTTCGAGACAGGGTTTCTCTGTGTAGCTTTGGAGCCTGTCCTGGAACTCACTTTGTAGACCAGGCTGGCCTCGAACTCACAGAGCTCCACCTGCCTCTGCCTCCCGAGTGCTGAGATTAAAGGCGTTCACCACCACTGCCCACCCTGGGGACATTCTTAGCCTTTGGGTTGGTGGAAACCAGAGGTCTACTTATACCTTCTCAAAGGATTTGCCTAAAAGTCACATGGATGTTAGGTAGGACACAGAGGTGGGCATGAATGGCTGTTTAGGACTAACAGGTTTCAGATAACTTGGCTTTGGACCTGTAACATTCCAACTCTGCACAATTACAGATGTTCTAATTGGCCACCCCTGTGAAATGTTTAACACAGGGGGATGGGAGAGATGTCTCCGTGATTTAGAATACTTGTTGCTCTTGCAGAGGACCTGGGTTCCATTCCCAGCATCCACACAGCAGCTCATAACATTCCATAACTCCAGTTCCAGGGAATCTGACATGCTCTTCTGGTCTTGCACATGATGCCGATACATGAGGCAAAACATTCATACACATAAAACAAAGCATGTCTTTTTAAAAGTTTCTTACTGTCTAGCATAGGTGTGGGAGCTGTAGTTCACACCTTGCTATGTGACAGTCACCCTGCTGCACACTCGAGGAGGAGGTCATTTAATGTGGAAATGAGCCGGGACCTGGAGAAGTGGGGTCACCGGAAGTAAGTGGCAGGACTGAGTTTCAGACCGCGTCATCAGGGCTGAGTATGTGACGTGGTGCCACCCATACCTTGGTGCATGCTCCTGCCCCAGGGCTTGGTGTCAGCAGTGCCCCAGGCTAAGCCAGAGCAGAGCAGGTCCTTCCTGGGTCCAGATACTGCACCGAGGAAGGTGTTGTGTCGCTTGACTGTCCTCTGTCATGTTGAGGTCTCTGTCTCGGAGTAGAACCATACCTGTTTTTGCTCATGTTGACCCCATCCTGTGGCAGTCCCTCTTCAGTGATGTCTGCAGCACAGTCAGCACCTCCAGAGGTGCCTGGCACTGTCCTCAGGACCAAGGGCCTGTGTAGATTCAGTGCCTAGGGAAGGAAGCAGGGTGACATGGTCCGTGAAGCATCCTTCAGCTGTGCTAGCCTTGGGTGGGATAGTCTAGTGATCATGGAAATGTCTGCTTGTGTCTCTCAGTGTGGAGATGAATAAGCTGCTACAGGCCAAGATCGACTTGGAGAAGGAGCTGGAGATGGCCAGGGAGGGCGAGAAGGAGAGACGGGAGCAGGAGCAGGCTTTGAGGTAAGTCCACTGGTTATTCAGTAGTGTTTTGACTTCATGTTTTTGTACAGGATCTCACTGTATAGTGCAAACTGGCCTCAGTTTGCAACTTTGCAGCTTCAGCCACTCAATTGTCAGAACCACATTTGCTGAGATCACAAGCGTGTATCCTCACACTGGGATGCCCCGGTTTGTTGTGTGACAGGGTTTCATGTACCCGACTCTGACTTTGAACTTATTGTAGCCAAGAATGACCTTCTTATTCTTCTTCCACCTTCCAAATGCCAAGATTACCAGTGTGTGCTCCCATGCTGTTCTGTGTAGTACTAGAATGGACCCCAGGACTTCCTGCATGCTAGGCAAGCCCTTTACCACAGACCCCTTTTCCAACTCTGATGATACTTGGTGTATCCTCAGCCCTGCCCTTGAACAGGCTCTCACAACACAGGTGACAGTTTGGAAAGCCCTACAGTGACGTTGCTGGTGACCATCAGTTACCAGAAGCCGGTTCCTGTGGTCTGTCCCTACGCAGCACTGCCCGGACCACCATAGGACAGTTTTCCCACCAGATGACGACTAAGGGTCATCTTTTCCCTTTGCACTGCAGAGAGGAAATTGAAGCCCTCACCACCAAGTGTCAAGAGCTGGAAGAAGCTAAGAGACAAGAGAGAGACTCCACCACAGCAGGCACTCATGAGGTACCACAGGGCTGTGTTGTTCCCTCGACTTTAGGCATGGATGGGGCTTGTCACCATTGTCTTAACATGCCGCTTCTCCATGATCCACCACCTGTCACTTGCCCTAATGAGCTCCATAACCCGGATGGTATGTGTAGATGCCTCAGGTGGCCTTGGGTCTTAGGCAGTTTGGACAGGATAGGTGCAGCTCTGAGGAGGCAAGAAGACCAGAAAGGAAGGAGGAATAGCCCACTCCTAATCTGCATAGATGTGAGTTCCAGAACATGCTGCCTGGGCAGGTACCTTGCTGCAACCTCCCTGTCTTCTGTACCCCTGTATTTGTTTTTGTAGGGCTGGATAGAACCCAGAGCTTTATATATACTAGGCAGTACTGTACCACTTAGCCACACCCCAGCCCCTCACTGGGGATTCTAGGCAGGTGCTCTACCACTGAGACACACCCCAGCCCCTCACTGGGGGATTCTAGACAGGTGCTCTACCACTGAGCCACACTCCAGCCCCTCACTGGGGGATTCTAGGCAGGTGCTCTACCACTGAGCCACATCCCAGCCCCTCACTGGGGGATTCTAGGCAGGTGCTTCTCCCTTTTTGTCTAAATAAAAAGAAAGATTTTAGCTTTTACGTAGTAAGACTATATACAATAAAAACAATTATCAAGTAAGAATTACATTTACAATATTCAGTCCATTTGCATTTGGCAAATTCAGAGAAAATACTCCATTATCTATCCAATCTGGTTGAGTCCAAAGTTGTGAGCCTAATTTATTTTCTATCCTAACTTGCATTACCAACCCAAAATTATCTTTTTAGACCTCAAAACATTTTTAGATAAACAATTTAAGCTTTTATGTTTCTCAACCTTATAAATTTTACATCTCTTATGTAAGTTTCTTTTCTGAATTTGGTAACAAAAAATACATATATAACCATCTCGTCTTCACTCCATCAGAGACCCAGGAAGTATATAGTATTACCTGAGTTAACAGAAGTGCAGAGCAAGCAACTTCCAAAACTACAGAAATGACAGAAGCAGCTGTCTGCCTAGAAAGTCACCCAAGGTTCCTCTGTAGTGTTGGGGCATCCATCTTCAGCCTACAGGCCTAGACTATCTGACAGACTTTTCTGTGAAGCAGGAATTTTGAAGGACTGTTCCACCTTGTCTTGGCAAAGTTCAGCAGTCGTCTTTCCTTTATGTCCTTCTTGTCCAGTTTGTACAATATACTATCAGCAGTCGAGGCAAAGGCAGTTTCTTGCCCAGTGACTAACTTTGCCATAATGAAAGCAAACTCCATATGGAGGTTCTTAGACACCTATCATCCTTTTATGAAGTAGATTGGTGCCGCCAGGAGCAGATGTGTCTTGCTATTGTGAAAAGCCTTAGGTTATTAAACATCTTAAGTGCCGTATCCTGTAGGTCTCTGAAGCATTTGAAGATCACCTGTCTAAAATATATCTATTTAACCTTGAAAACATATCTAACATGACTACAAGTTTGATTGTGGTTTTTTGTTTTTGTTTTTTTTTTGTTTTGTTTTGTTTTGTTTTGTTTTTTGAGACAGGGTTTCTCTGTGTAGTTTTGGTGCCTGTCCTGGATCTCACAGAGAATCTGCCTGGCTCTGCCTCCCAAGCGCTGGGATTAAAGGCATCTGCCACCACTGCCCGTCTTACAAGTTTGATTGTGATAGATGACTAACTACTAACCTGCATTTCTTAATTATACATTATGTTTTTAAATGAGCTGCATAAGCACAATACTCCAAACAAGTAGAAATATACATACAGTATAACAAAAGTAACTTTACATTTGTATCAATATACCAAAATCCATTCCAATGTAAGATATTTTAGGTTAATAGTTGTCTTTTTATCCTATATTACTACATGCCCCCCTAAACAATGACAAACATCCATAACCCACCGAATGACCAAAAAACACCCACCCTACCTCTTAGGAATGTGGGCATTGTGTCCTCTAGACTACATCCTGTTGTCTGAGGGCAATGGCATCTTTATGGAACCCTGAGAAAATTGAAATAATGGTCAAGACCTGGGAAAACTAGTTGTAACATTTGTTGTCCAGTCTCAGAACTGTTCCCATGCAGAAGAATCAGTATATATGTCACCTGTCTTGTAGTTTTTCTTGGTTTATTTCTTTATATCTGTAGCCAAGATTTTCAGGAGGTCTCCCGCATCAAACCTGATCTCTATCAACCTTGAACAAATCTACAGCCTTTGTTTCCTGTGGAAACAAAAGCATAACCTCTCCCCGAATGTAATACACTTTCTGAATTCCATTTTGAAGTTAAGACATCTCTAAAGTATCTAGACTGGTTTAATTCAGCAGTTCTTTTTACAGTCCAGTGTCTCTCCACAGCTGTCATTCATTCATCAGCATTCAAATAATTCATAGTCAATACAACACCATACAGGATCCAGACTCCCTGAGTATTTCCCATCTTTACGTGGCTGTTTTCCTTTATATTACTTTACTCTCTCTTTAAAGACTTTATTATTTTTAAACTTATTTTTTTCCTATGACTATCTATACCCATTTTCTTAGCACCCACACACATTTTTTTGACACACTGTAGCCTGTTTAAAGGTTTTTTTCTGTCTGGACCTGCTTTACTGTGCACCTGTAGCATTCTCTGACCACTCACCACACGGCTTGGCACTGGCAGCTGGCTCTGCCCTGCGCAGGACTGTGGGAGCTGATCTTTAAGCCCTGTAGGCCTGGCCAAGAGCTGTGTTTAACGGGAGCTGCACTTCACTGCCCAGCTCTAGGAAGTTGGCACCCACACTATGGCAGGCGTTTTTACTCAGCTTATCATTTTTAATTAACATGCCAGCTGCTCAGGTACTTGCCGCACCCCTGTATGCTAAGAGCACCAGGCTGCTAGGAAGATGTGTTGGGGTTTTTTGTTGTTGTTGTTTTCTTTTTATCTCTTTTTTTTTTTTCAGCTTTCGCAGGCCCTATGTGGAAATTCAGACCCCACATTGGGCACCAAATATAGCAGGCTTTCTTGGACTGCCAGCCCCCAAATCATGACTTGGAAGCTTATCGTTAGTTCGTTAATGTTCAGCCTTAGTTTAGGCTTTGTCCACCAGCTCTTTTAACTTAATTTAGCCTGTTTCTCTTCATCTACATTTTGCCTCTGGGCTTTTTACCTTTCTTTCATTCTGTATGTCCTACTTTCCTGCTTCCTCCATGTCTGGCTGGCCCCTGCCTGGTGTCTCCCTGGAGTCTCTTTTTCTGTCTTCTCTCAAGCCTAAATTCCTCCTCCTACTTACTCTCCCTACCCGGAAGTATCACCTATACTTCCTCCCTTGCTATTGGCCATTCAGCTTTTTATTAGACCAGTCAGGTCCCTTAGGCAGGCAAGGTAAAACAGCAACACATCTTTACATAGTTAAAGAAATACAACACATTTTTACATAGTTAAAGTTATTCTGCAACATAAACAAATGTAACACATCTTTGCATAGTTAAACAAATATTTTGCAACAGGTGCTCCACCACAGAGCCACACCCCAGCCCCTCACTGGGGGATTCTAGGCAGGTGCTCTACCACTGAGCCACTCCCCAGCCCCTCACTGGGGGATTCTAGGCAGGTGCTCTACCACTGAGCCACACCCCAGCCCCTCACTGGGGGTGTCTAGGCAGGTGCTCTACCACTAAGCCACACCTCAGCCCCTCACGGGGGATTCTAGGCAGGTGCTCCACCACAGAGCCACATCCCAGCCCCTCACTGGAGGATTCTAGGCAGGTGCTCTACCACTGAGCCACACCCCAGCCCCTCACTGGGGAATTCTAGGCAGGTGCTCTACCACTGAGCCACATCACCCGACTCTCACTGGGGGATTCTAGGCAGGTGCTCTGCCCCTGAGCCACACCCCAGCCTCTCACTGGGGGATTATAGGCAGGACTCTACCACTGAGCCACACTCCAGCTCCTCACTGGGGGATTTTAGGCAGGTGCTCTACCACTGAGTTACACCCCTGCCCCTCGCTGAGGGATTCTAGGCAGATGCTTTACCACGAAACTATATTCCTAGCCTTCTTATTATGTTTTATTTTGAGATGGGGTCTTGCCAAGTTACCTAGGCTGGTACCTTGAATTTACCATCTCCTGCCTCAACTTCTTGAATGCTGGAATTACAGGCCTGTGACATCAGGCCTCCTCTTTTTCATGGAAGTCTCAGGACTTGCTGTCATTCAGGGGAGGCTTTGTGGTTGTGAATGTCACCTGGGTATTCTCCAACTCCAGAGGTCAGGAAGAGGCCCTGTGGTCCTTGTTCTCCAGGCTGTTGACACCTTCAGTTCCAGGAATTAGAGTGTATCCCCGTGTGATCTGTCCCATTGTGTCACAGCGGACGCAAGCACAGGTGGAAACGGGTGCATTGGGGGCAGAACTCCTGTGCCACTCTTTGCTCAGAAGGACCTGATATGTGAATGCATAATAAATAAATCTTCATGGGCCATGCATAGTGGTGCAGGCCTGTGATCCTAACACTCAGGAGGCAGAGGCAGGAGGATGGAGAGTTCAAGGCCAGCTTCAGGGCTGGGGAGATGCCTCGGTAGGTAATAACACTTTTACTCTACATGCATGAAGGTGTGTCGAGGACAAAGAAAGGAGGGTAGCCGGGACTAGTTGGCTATCAGTCTAGATGCAGATTCAGCGAGGGATGGTTTTTTTCTTGAGAGAATAAAGCAGAGCAGAGGGCAGGACACCTGAGAGCCTCCTCCAGCCTCCATGCACAAACAATGCACAAACCTACACACACAGTAAATGAACAAGCTAAAAAGAGATGCATGAGTTTGGGCAGGAAGCTATCGCAGAGAGAGCCAGGGCCTTCACTGTGGGCAGGACAGGACATGAGGAGCACATGGCTCAGCGTGAAGGCAGCTGCTTTGAACAGCTGTGGTGACCTCCAAGCCACAGGGCATACTAGTTGCTCAGTCCCTGGTCCTGAGTGACTGAGAAGAAAAGACACTATCTTGGGGTGTGCAGATTACAGAGGAGATGGGTTGGGTGTGGCTGGGCCTGTGAGTTGCCTATGCAGCCTCCCTCACTGGAACACCCTTCTCATCCTGGGGTCTGTCCCATCTGTCCAGGGCCAGCCAGGCCACACATGTCAAAACCTTAAAGTAGAGCAAATGAAAATCTTGGTTTCAGTACTGACTGACACAGTGTGGCGCCAGCCACCTAGTGCATATGCATATCTCTCACGTGGCCGGGAAGGCGGTTTAGGTAGCATACTCCTCCATTGAACCTGCCTTTAATGTGTGTGTGTGAAGTATACGTGGAGGAATAGGTAAGCCTGGCCAGCCAGCAAGCCCCAGGGACCTGCCTTGTCTCTGCCTCTCTGGTGCCAAAATGCCACCACGCCTGACTCTTTACACGGTGCTGAGGAGCAAACTTGGGGCCTCATGCTGTGTGGCAAGCCCCTTTCGGACCGTGCTATCTCTCCAGCCCTGACCAGCCTTTTGACATGAGGAAAAATACTCCAGTGATGTTAATTGTATTGAGACGAGCCCTGGTGGGTAGATTTCAAGAGCACTACCTAGAAGTCAGCAGCATTTCAATAGTTCAGGTCCTCTTCCTATCAGAAACCACACTGGAAATATCTCCACTTCAATCTCCCAAATCCCACTTTTATCATACTGCATCAATCTTTAAAAAGAGCCCCAAAAAAGACCGCCACCGCACCGGGCTCAGACTTGGTTTTATTAAGTCTACTGTCTGATGAGCAAGGCCTGTAATATCCTGGTTAATATCCTGTCCGCTGCCCGCTGCTGACATCACTAATGCCACTGACCCCTTTTCATTTCCTGCAGGCTCACCTAGAGCTCCATGTACCATCACCCTGCAGCAGCAGGCACTCCAAGCCAGACAACGACAATGAGCCCAATTCCCACAACAGTGCCAGCGAGGGAGGTGGCTCCCAGCCCCCAACCCCGTGCTCTGAAGAGAGGAGAGAGGCCGCCATCAGAACCCTGCAGGCCCAGTGGAAGGCCCACAGACACAAGGTGAGCTTCCTGGTCCATTTCCAGCTGCAGAGAACATCTGGTGTTGGTGTGCTCCATTACCCAGTGGGTTCTGCACATCCACTCAGTGCCTTCACCCACCCACCCACACCACCAGTCACCCATTGGTGCTTAGAGTGGGTTGACTCGAAGAAGGTGGAGTTGCAGGTGCTGGCACCTTGAAAGGAGAGGTGATGTATGCTTATAATCCCAGTACCAAAGAGGATCGGGAGTTCAAGGTCAGCCTAAGCCACATGAGACCATCTCTAAAAACAAACTAGTAACAGTCCAGTAACCTAGCTTCGGCCATCTGGGGTAGCCACAGGACTGTTTGTAGTTCCGTCTTTCATCAGTCAGTTTCCCTGGTGTAAGTAGCAGTTGCTCAGCATTGGACATGGATCCGGGTGCTCCTGAGGAGACAGGGCAAGCCTTCTTTTCTAGGCAGATAACAGTTTCAGAGCATGGAATTGTTGGATGATGATCCTTCTAGCAGAACACAGGAACCCCTCCCTGTATCCCTCTTGGGAAGAGAGTTAATATGAGCTCAGATTCTTTCATTTATTGAATCATTTTCTTTTTACGTTTTATAAAACCTTTATTGACAAATAATTCACATAGTACACAATTTGCCTGTTGGCACAATTTGATAGACTTTAGTCCAGCATCCTCATCGGCCCATGACACCATCACCACCTTCTATTTTAGAACATCGCTATCTTATTGAACGATTTTAAAAGTTAGTCGCAATCATTATTCGCTTTAATATTGGCCCAAATATGGTCACGAGAGCCCCTTTGCTCTGGCCTTTGTGGCTGTCGTCTTCCTGAGCATGTCATTGTTTTCTGGCAAGGGAGGCTCCCATGCCCCACCTCGACCTTGCCATCAGAGTCAGCCGTCTGTGCCCCCGTCCTGCCCTTGTTGGCTGTCGCAGATGGAGGAGTACAAACTGGGGTAGATGCAGGACAGGCTGAGAGTGGCAATCACCATCACAGTGCGTGATGAACTTGAACAGAAACGTCACAGAATCCGTCACTGCACCGCAAGTGTACAGGGTCAGCTGCTCTTCCTGCTGCTGTGTCAGAACTATCAAGGACAGGGTAGATTGGGTTCACAGTCTGTGTCGGTCACGTCATGGCACCAGGAGCGTGAGTGAGGCGCCTGGTCCCGTCATGCGCACAGTCAGGCAGCAGAGAGACAGAACTCCATGCTCAGCTCCACTCTCCTGCCTGTGCAGGTCAGGACCCCAGCCCGTGGGCTGGCACCCCCACACTTAGGGTGAGTCTTCCCACCCGTTAACTCAATCTGGAAAGCCTCGCACAGACACACCCACAGGTGTGTTGTCATGGCAGATCTAAGTCAGTCAGGTTGACAGTGAAGATTAACTGTCACATATACTAAGGGGGACATTCTTCTAAGGAATGGAAACCTGGGAGACTTTACTCCGCTCCCATTAATTCATTTCTCGATTTCCTTATTTCAGAAAAGAAAAGCAGCTTTGGATGAGGTAAGCCAGCTCAATTGCACCCGGGTCCAAACACCCCTTTTTACTGTGGTGTAAAGTAACCTGGGAGTAGTGGGGGAGGGGTGTATGCACTTGTGTAAGGGATGCTGATGTGAGTGGAGGTCAGAGGAAGGCGGGAGCTGCTTCATTACTTTTGGCCTTATCCTCTTGAGACAGGGTCCCCCACTGAACCTGAAGCTAGGCTGGCTGCCTCTGTATCTACCCCTGGTGTGCTGGGTTACAGGCACATCTGGCCACACCTGGCTGCCTCTGTATCTGCCCCTAGTGTGATGGGTTACAGGCACATGTGGCCACACCTGGCTGCCTCTGTATCTGCCCCTAGTGTGATGGGTTACAGGCACATGTGGCCACACCTCATTCTATGGAGGTGTGAGGGGATTCAAATTCAGTTCCTAATGCTTGTACAGAAAGTGCTCCTAACTTCTGAGCCATCTCTCCAGCCCATCCAAGGGATAGTTAAAGGCATTTCCCTAAGTCCTGACTTTCGGGAAATGAATTCAAACTCAGGCACAAAGTCTAAAATACACTAGTAACGGAAGCTAAAATGAACACCTGAGTAACTTCACATTTTAAACTTCACTTGCTCACTCTTTCCTCCACTCCCACTTCAGTTTGGAGTTGAACAATCCCACGTGCTCAGCCACAGATGCCACGATACACATGCTATAAAGCAGGGAGAACTGAGGTGGTCTGAGGACTAGAGCTGCCATCCTGCAGCCCAGCTGTCCCCATGGGACACATGGGGAAGGACAGTAGGCTTGTCCCAACAAGAGAGCGGGGAAGAAGGAGAAGCAGGTTCTGGTGGCCGTGAAAATAAGAGACTGTTATTTGTTATTGGGGCTTCCTGCATGCTAGATGTGGCTCCACCACAGAGCCACACCCCAGCCCCTCACTGGGGGATTCTAGGCAGGAGCTCTACCACTGAACTATACCCCAGCCCCTCACTGGGGGATTCTGGGCAGGTGCTCTACCACTGAGCCACACCCCAGCCCCTCACTGGGGGATTCTGGGCAGGTGCTCTACCACTGAGTCACACCCCAGCCCCTCACTGGGGGATTCTGGGCAGGTGCTCTACCACTGAGCCCCACCCCAGCCCCTCACTGGGGGATTCTGGGCAGGTGTTCTATTTCTAAACCATGCTTGCAGTCCTCCCTGTGTTTTTATTTTGAGACAGTTTGGCCACATTTTCCAGGCTGGCCCTGAACTTGTGATTCTCTTTCTCTTGCTTCAGTCTTACGTAGTTGAGATAACAGGCCTGTACTATCAAGCACTCTTCCTGTGGCTTCTTCCTGCCCAGATGTCCATTCTTGCTTTGTGGTTTCCCAATTAGATTAGCTTACCTGGGCTGGGTTTCCGCCTGGACACTGTCCAGCTGTTAGGTGTTCTAACATACAGCCTGGGCCAGAATTCAGCCCACATTAGGGGCTGGATGTCTCTGGCCTCAGTTACTGCCCTTCAGTTCATTGGCTGTTGTGTACAGGGTTGTCACACTCTAAGAGCTAAGAAGAGCAGGTGTGGCTAGAAACTTCATGGCATCATATCTGCCTAGAATCCCCCAGTGAGGGGCTGGGGTGTGGCTCAGTGGTAGAGTTTTTACCCAGCATGCACAAGGCCCGGGGCTCAGTTGCCAACACTTAACACAGAAAAGATCTTTCTGTAGCATTTGTGACTGGAGAATGTGTGTGAAAGGAAGTAAACGGAACACTTCAACCCTGCTTGAAGACACGCCAGTGTGTGAAGTCTGGAAGACAGGCACTGGCATACACCTGTAATCCCAGCACTCAGGAGGCAGAAACAGGAGGTTCGGCACACATTTGAGGTCTTCCACAGCCACATAGCAAGACCCTGACTCAAAAAGCCAAAACAGTGTGCCAAGTCTGAACTAATATTAGCAGCTGGTGTGACTGTGTTCGGGATTGGTTTGTTTGCTGCGGCAGTCAGCATGTGCCAGCGTGTGGGGTTAGGAGGCAGAGGGAAGGCACTGGGACATGCCCCTGGTTATACAGCGGTAAGAGGAGTTTTCTCCATTTGCCTTTCATCTCCACTCAGTACCATCTTCAAGAAACTAAGTCCTTCACTCTTTCCCATCAGGCAGCAACTGTGCTCCAGGCGGCCTTCAGGGGACACCTAGCTCGTTCAAAGCTGTTACGCAGCAAAGCCCCAGACTCCAGGCCTCCCAGCCTGCCGGGCCCTCCCAACCAGGTAACCGTCTGGGTGGATGGATACCAGCTGCTCGACCCCTCTTCAGCCCCTTACTCATCTTCAGCAGAGGACTCTCAAGCCCTGTGCAGCCTTCTAGTCTTCCTGGCTGGGCAGATGTGCCTGGTGCTCCACCCATCCCATGGTGGGACAGCCCTGCGGTGGCCCCTTTGACACATGCTGGGCTGGTTTAGCCTTGAGTGTAGAACTAGCAGGCCTCACAGTGACTGGAGTGGCTGATGAGGAGCATTGTTGGGGGTACATCTGGAAAGCCCCCACCCCTCCTGCCCCAGATACTTGCATGCTGCATTTGGAGACAGCAGGGTGGCCCCAGACAGGTCTCCCTCCTGTTGTCATTAGCTGCAGAGCTCTCCCACACCCCATGTCCCAAGCCCTGTCACCCCGCCTGAAGACAGCCCAGCACAAGAGGAGGCCATCGTTGTCATCCAGTCCATCCTCCGGGGATACCTGGCCCAGGCCAGGTTCATGTAAGTGGGGCCACAGGCACCTCTCTGCTGTGTTACTTTGGGGTCTAGGAGGCACCCATTTGGGGGCTAGCCAGGGCTCCAGTGGGGTTCATAATGATGTGTTGTTATGACACTTGCTGTATTAGTCATGGCCTGGTAGTTCACCATAGCAACTGGTAGGCCTTCAGGGATATTCTAGCTTCACTTTGGGTATTGGCTGGGCTGTAAGCTCTTGCCATCCTGAGAAGACCCTCCTAGAACATGTCTCCATGATGGGGGAAGCAAGGAGGTGTGTGGACATCAGGTGGAACAGGGCCTGTAAGTATGTGGGCATTGTGGGCTTGGGCTCACGTACTGTCCCTTTTTAAAGAAAAGTGTAATTTGGCACAGTGATACACACCTGTAATCCCAGCACTCAGGAGGCTGAGGTAGGAGGATCTCTGTGAGTTAGAGGCCAGCCTGGTCTACAGATCAAGTTCCAAGACAGCCTAGGCTGTTACACAGGAAAAACCCTGTCTCGAAAAAAAGATTGAGCACTGAGCACCCTGAGTTCAGCAGGGCCTTAGACGTGAACCAAAGGCATGGACTTTGAGGACAGCATTGTCAAGGCCCTAGGCACACTTGCTCGGTGTTTCACTTACGGAAGTGGCTGCTGGCCATGATCAGATTGCCGTGGCAAGCAGGCCAGGACGCTCTGTTGTCCAGCCCCTGGCTCAGCCAGAGCTTTCTGTCTTCCAGTGCCAAGTGCTGCCGAGGGATCGCTGCCTCTCAGAGGGAAGCTGTCTCATCCCCGCCCTCCGGATCCGTCTCCCCACCCTCCCTTGCAGCTTCTCCTGGTAATTTCATTCAGTTGGTTCTGCCACAAGGGGGAGGTGGCCCTGCAAGGGTTAAGGCAAAAGGCGGCTGGGTAAGAATGCAAGTCCCCACTGTCAACTGCCTCTGCCAGGAGACCAGAGACTCCCTCTCCTCCATTGCTGCTGGAGCTACAGCTGGGGTTTGAGCCAGTGGACTGCATCAGTGACGGCAGTGGTGTGGGCCCTGTGTCCTCCGTACCCCCAAGCCATGCAGTCAGAGCTTTTCTGGCTTGTATTTCTTTTCTTTTTTTGGTCTTTCAAGACAGGGTTTCTCTGTGTAGCTTTGCACTGTTCCTGGAACTCACTTGGTAGCCCAGGCTGGCCTCGAACTCACAGAGACCCGCCTACCTCTGCCTCCCGAGTGCTGGGATTAAAGGCGTGTGCCACCACCGCCCGGCCTCTGGCTTTTATTTCTTCAGCCATGGGCCTTCAGGTGGATCTCTGTGAGTTTGGGGCCAGCCTGGTCTACAAAGCGAGTCCCTGGACAGCCAGAGCCACACAGAGAAACCCTGTCTCTAAAATAAATTAATAAACACAGCAATAAGAGAAAACAACAACAAGCATTGGGTAAAGAAGCCCCAGGCTGACTCAAGGTAAAGGAACAGGGTTCAATTCCCAGGCCTCACATTGAAAAACCCATGGGCATGGTGATGCGTGCTTATAATGTCAGTGCTGGAGAGGTAGAGACAGGAACGTCCCTGGGGCTCACTGACTGGCCTGCTTAGCCAAATCATCAAGTTCCTGGCCAGCGAGAGGCCTTGTCTCAAGAAATAAAAGACAAAGTTAACAGCACCTGAGAAATGATACCTAAGACTAACTCTGACTTCTTACCTACACACAAACACGTACACACACACACACACACACACACACACACATATATATACAGCAGGTACACGTGTACTCATACAAATCAAGTCCGGGCACAGGCAGACTCTGTCCCCAGCTATGAGGTCTGGCTCATGCTGAGATAAGCTCCCTGTAGGCCCCTGCCTATGGGGCATCTCTTCTCCTGAGTAGAGAGCTGGGTGGACAGCCCAGCAGTCTTACTGCCATGCGTTGGTTCTGCTGCTGGGACTGCGCCTACAACTCCTGCCTTAGCTGCAGCAGTGGCCCACTGTGACTGGCATCAGTGAGGATGAGGAAGGACTTGGGTCATGTTAAATAGAGAAGTTCAGCCGAGATTCTGTGCAGGCATGTGACACCCCAGGGAGCTGAGCCCCTGGGTGTCACAGGTGGAACTAAGGAAGGCTGGCAAGGTCAGAAAAGTGCTGGCTGCTGGGACGGTGGGTGGGTGGCTGCTGGGACGGTGGGTGGGTTGGCTGGTCCTGCCCAGAACTGACATGTCTTATACAGAATGGGGTCCTTCAGGGAAGGACATCGAGGAGAGCTGTGGGAAGGCTGCCGAGGCCGAAGAGGAGGCCGAAGAGGAGGCCGAAGAGCCAGCAGCCCTGCAGCTCTATTCAGGTACATGTGTGGTAGTGGTGGCCAGGGCAGCACCTTCCTGAGCAGTCCGCGACTCCATTGGCAGTAGAGGCACACAGTGAAGACAAGGCTATGACTCTGACTCCAACCTCACCCAGAGACCATGGCTGGATGGCCTTCTCTAGTAGCTCTCCCTACTGTTTTTGTTTTCTTTGAGGTGCTGGAGATGGTACCCAAGGCCTTGTACATACTAGAGAAATGATCTGCTGAGCCACATGCAAGCCCCTCACTGGGGGATTCTAGGCAGGGACTCTACCACTGAGTCACACCCCAGCCCCTCACTGGGGGATTCTAGGCAGGTGCTCTACCACTGAGCCACACCCCAACCCCTCACTGGGGATTCTAGGCAGGTGCTCTACCACTGAGCCACATCCCAGCCCCTCACTGGGGGATTCTAGGCAGAGGATCTACCACTGAGTCACACCTCAGCCCCGCACTGGGGGATTCTAGGCAGGTGCTCTACCACTGAGCCACACACCCAGCCCCTCACTGGGGGATTCTAGGCAGGGGCTCTACCACTGAGCCACACTCCAGCCCCTCACTGGGGGATTCTAGGCAGGTGTTCTACCACTGAGCCACACCCCAGCCCCCCACTGGGGGATTCTAGGCAGGTGCTCTACCAATGAGCCACACCCCAGCCTCTCACTGGGGGATTCTAGGCAGGTGCTCTACCACTGAGCCACACCCCAGCCCCTCACTGGGGGACTTTAGGCAGGTGCTCTCCCTCTAGGTGGGGACTCTATCACTGAACCTCACCCCAGCCCCACAGTAAGGGATGCTCTACCATTGACACATTCTCAGCCCTTCATGGGATAGAGTTGGGCATCGTAGACCAACATGCGACACAATGCTTAACATATTGTCACATTTGAAAGTCCTACATCCACTTCAGCTGTCACTTTCCAAGCTGTGTCAGAGCTACAGAACCATGAGCTCTGCTGTTCTCTCCAGACCCTTGTCTGCAAAGTGCAGTGAGCCAAGACAGAAGCCCTCGGATTTCAGAGAAGGCAGGCACACAGACACCGGAATCCCAAAGCCTGCAATCCCCAGGCCTCCAAAGGCTTTGGACTATTCTCTAAAAAGCTGTCTGTGCTGATCTCACCAGGTCCAGTGTCTGCTGACCTTTAAATTATTTGGTCAGGGCTGAAAAGTGTATTTATGCTGCCCTTTTTTCCCCTTGTCAAATGTAATTTAAAGTGGCAGGTTTACCCACCTGTGTAGACTGGCCCAGAAGCATCCATCCACTGCTCACTGGGCACTGACCCCCGGAATATGCATCCATGTGAGAAAAGTGAATGACACCCTTGTTTGAGCCGATGTGTTGGGGTGCTCATTGACCGATTGGTTGTTAAGACAGGATCTCACTAGCCCAGAGTGAGGGGCCTTTACCTGACCATCTTCCTGCTTCTGCCTCCCACATGCTGGGATTACAGGCATCACAGCCACACCCAGGCCTTGACTATGCAGAGCCTGCCTTCAGTCCTAGCAAAGGGAAGAGGATGAGCTATTGCAGGCCAGCTGCAGCCACATAAAAAGTGGCTTTGAGGCTAGTCTGAGTTACATGAGACTGTCTCATAAAAGGAAGGAAGGGGCTTGGAAAGATGGCTCATTGGTTAAGAGCACTGGCTATTCTTGCTGAGGGCCTGGATTCAGTTCTCAGTGTCCACATGGTGGCTCACAACTGTCTGTAACTGTAGTTCCAGAGGATCCAATTCCACACACACACACACTAGCTTCTGCAGGCTCTGCACACATCTGGTGCACAGACATTCATGCAGCAAATCACCTATACACAGAAAATAACCTTTTTTTAAGAGGAGAGGTGAGGAAAAAAGACATGAGAAAGGGCAAGAGGAGAGAGGAAGGAAGGAGGAAGAAAAGGAAAATAGAACTTAGGGCTACAGGCTAAAATCCCAGGAATCTAGAGGCTGAGGCAGGAGGATCATAAGTTAAGGCTAGCCAGGGTTACATGGCAAGACCCTATCTCAAAGACTAATAAGGAAACAGGTAGGGAGAAGAAAGCTTCAGGGAAGTGTGTCTGTGGGTGAAGCGCTTACATACAAGCATGAGGACCTGAGTTCAGATCCCCAGTACCCATGGGAGGCCTCCTGTGAAGAGGTGGGGGAGGGGAGGGGGCAATACAGCATCAAACAGCAGAGAGACCCTCTTTTTAAATCTCAAATTAGTAACCTTTCATTTCCCCCCTTTAGGAGCAATAAGAGTGACACTCTGTGCCAAGGAGGAGCTGAAAGAGGCCACTGCTGTTGATCCTGCGCCCTCCTCACAACCCTCAGTTCCTGCCTCCCCGCAGGGTGGCCATTGGGACTGTCTGTCCCCATCCGGTCTGGAGGCTGTGCCTCGGTCCAGTGTGAAGGATGTGTTGTGCTTGAATGTGTGTGATGGAAGGAGCAGCAGTGCTGGAAGTGCTCAGCCATCCCTGGGTACGTCCCTCTGTCCTTCTGTCCCCTCTGCCTCATCCTGGCTCCTCACCAGACAGGGCAGGCAACCCAGAGCCCCTTCAGCCAGGACCTGCTTATACACAATGGCCACTCGGTCCTGATTCCCTTTGCATGTTTTCAGTTTCTGAGCTAATCTTGCTGCGTAGTCCAGGCTAACCTCAAACTCACCGTATAGCCCAGTCTAGCCTCAAATTTGTGATCTCCTCCTCCTCCTCCTCCTCCTCCTCCCTCCTCCTCCTCGGTCGGCTGGCCGAGTGCTGGGATTACAGGTGTGCACCACCGCACCAGACCTGCATGTGTTTTCATGTCGGCAGCTGCCAGACCGTCACAGAGTGGGAGCTGGCAAGAGGCTCTGGAGTGGTGTGCGGTGGGCTCTGAAGGGGGCCTTGGCTGTGTGGTTGGGGCTTCAGTCTTGCATGCCAGCTCACAGCTGTCTATACCGTGTGACCGACTCTACGTGGCTGACCTCCCTCTCTGGTTCATTTCAGTGGCGTCCTCTTCCTCAGGACTGCAGCCCCTGTCGCCACCACCTGTGGAGGATGTCAGCTCCGATGACTCAGATGACATTATCTTTTCACCATTTCTGCCCAGGAAGAAAAGCCCCTCCCCATTCTAGGACCCCAGTCATTGCCTCCTGGTGAGGTGGCTGTGGGGACAGGTTAGAGGACTCGCTAACTGAATTTGAGAAGATGACCTATCTTGCTAGGGAAAGAGCCCTGCCTCGGGAACACCTCAGCCATCGGTTTTCTTGTGTCTTGTGCCTATGCCTTTGAGGGACCCTGGTGGCTCTACGCTGCTCTCTGGGGAGGGCGGACAGCCGCCTCCCACTTCCATCTCTGGTTGCAGCCCATGTGTTTCCAGTGCCCACCCCAAATCAGGTCAGCAGGGAGTCCTGCCAAGACAAGAACTCTTGCAAAGTCTACCACCTGCCCTTGACCTTGGCACTGTCAGCTGCCACTGAGATGCGGCCTTCTTTGTCCTGTGCTGCCCAGTGCCTTACACGTCACCCAATCAAGTCTCCTGTCCCCACAGCAGAATGCAATCATATCACAGTCAGCAAGAAGCCTTGGACATCAGGGTCTCCAACCAAGCCCCTGTCCCATGGGCTCCTTGCTCCCCTTTCTCTTATCCCCACCACCTCCGTCCCCCTGAGAGGATGAACTCTTGGAAGAGCAGCCAGCAGTGTCGCATGGAGTGGCACATTGTCACCTGGAGTGGCACAGCAGCTGTTGAGAGGCTGCGAGAGGACAGATCCACAGGTCACCCAGAGACAAGGCAGAGAGCAGGGCCAGGAGGCAGCCCACCATCCCCGAGGAGATAAGTCTCAGGGATGAACAGATTCCAATGTGGACCTGGGGACAGCCTTGTCACCTGGGTGTGCAGAGGCATCCGCAGGCCACCAATGCCACCTTGAGATGTTGGCCCCTTGTTTGTGAAATTAGCTGCTGTCAGTGGGTGAGAAAGAGGGGCTTTGGGCTTGGACAGTGTTAGGGGTATCCAGGCTCCATGTAGCCCAAGTCTCCCTTCCCTGTCAGAGTGCCTGTGGGACTGGCTGCCGGTGGGCTCCATAGATCACTAGTGATGGCACTTCCTGGCCCCATAGGACTGGTTTTTGTCTCAGGAAAAAACCTAATGCTAGAAGGTTCCTTCTTGGACTAGACCAGTGGGAACACCAAGAGGTTTGCCCTTAGGACCATTTAGTCCTGGCATCCTCCACAAAACACCTGTGTGATGCTGCACACAGCAGGCTGGGCGTGGGAACCTCAGGACGGGAGCTGGGCTTGGTGGCAGGAGACCAGGAAGGAGGAGCCCAACTTTGCCAGCTTGCCCCAGGGAGGGGAAGTGCCCCTAACACTGTGATGGGAGCAGGCACTGCTGCCTAGCCCTTCTCTCCAGCAGGGGGACCCTGGCTGCCTCAGTCTTTAGGCACCGTGGGCTGTCTGCCAAGTTAGTTTCTTCCCCATGAACTGATGTGCTTGTATAAACATGGCAGTCAGCTGGAGCCCTCTAGATCTGTCTGCCTCTACCACAACTCGGGGTGTTTCCTGTGATTGATGCCACCACTTGAAGTGTCAGACCTGCCCATTAAGGCACCAAAAGATGGCTACAGGTGGCCCTCGTGTGCCTGTACCTTCCTTGAGGCCAGCGGTCCTTTTTATGGCTACTCTGTCCCCTCTTCTTTAATAGCGGCCATTTGTCCATTGAGTGTTCTGAGAGTGAGCAGTCAGGAGTTCTGGCAGGGGATGCAGAATGGGTGTCTTCACTCGGCTGCTCCCACCTCAGGAGAAGGGGCAGGGTCTGTACAGAGGCTGACCTGTGCACCCAGCCTGGCCAGCGGGCAGTGAGGTCAAGATCAGCCTCTGCACTTGAGTTTTCTGAGAACAGGAAACTATAAACCTCCTGCCCTTTGCAGCTAATCTATTAAAGGTAAACCCTGCCTTGGAGCTACCTCGGTAAATGACAGTGCCTCAAGCCTCTGTGTTTGGCTAGTGTTCTGTGTCCTGTGCTCCCCACCCAGGCCCCATTGCTACAGCAGACTGCCCCTGGCTGGTCTGAAACAGCACCTGGGTGGGGGGTAACCCATATGGGGCCTAGGGACAGTACTGAGAACTGCTGGCTTCTCCAGGAGTGAATGTAGGAACTGGGAGTCCAGCCAGTCAGTAGAGCTTTGAACCCCGCCTGATCTATAAGACAGACTCCTTGTGCTTGGCTTGGTTTCCGAGGCACAAGTCCCCCAGCACCTGGCTGGCCAGCTAGGGCCATTGGCAAAGCCAAAACTGCGGAGACTGGGCGGGGTGAGCTGTAGGCCAATTGCCAGTGGCTGTGGGCCGGGCCAACCCTGCTGAGAGTATGATTGGTCCGGGACCCAGCCAGTTGTGGTCTGTGGACTCTTAAGTGGGGTCGTAAGAAGCAGTGAAATTCATCCCTGGAGGAGACTAGGAGTGGAGACCTTTCCAGAAGGAAGGGACCTCAGACCTCAGCAATCAGAACCAAGCGGGCTCAGGTGTGTGCCCTTGAGCTTGGTAAGTGATGTCACTGTGCCCTTATTTCCATGGCAACACCTCCACATCACCCTGAGCTTAAAAGAGCAGCTGTGAGACTTCCCTGGCGGCTGGTAGGTCTTCCAGCTTTGGAAGAACCCGTGCTTTCTTCGTGACCCGCTCAAACTCTAACACGAAAAGTTAGAACATGACTCCACCCCGTGAACAGCAGCCGACCTGCTGACCCTGCCCTGCTGCAGTCCACCTGTGTGGAAAGCTGGAAAGGTGAAGGTGCTGTTCACACCAAGAAGGTGCTGGCTAGAGGCCTTGGGGTCTCTGGAGAGTGTACAGGAAGCCAGCGGGGCTTGGGACACAGTGCTTGCAGGGACCCTCTGGGATGGTGTTCCTCTTACCCATGACTGGGGGAAGAGGATGCCTCTGGCTCAGAAGCCAGAAACAGACTGGGGTCGCCGTCCTGAAGATGTCATCCCAGTGAAAAAGCAAGATCTAGGAAACACCACAGTCCTCTGTTGCCCTTGCTTCACCTCCACCCACCAGATACAGCTGAGAAGGAAGTGCAGAGAGGGGCTGGTACAAGCCAGACTTCCCCAAACCAGTAAACCAGGCAGCAGTGAACTGAGTGGATGGGGAGCAAACCTGGAGGGAGCAGAATCGGACTATAGGGAGCTTTGTGTGGCGCTAGAGATGGACCCCAAGCCCTGGTGGGAGCTAGGCAGGTGCTCTTCTACTGAGCCACACCACCAGCCCCTGTAGTGCATTCTTGGTGTAGTGTCATCACGGGCATGCAGCATTGAAAGGGGACTTGGTCAGAAGCCACCCAGAGCACAGTCCCTCTAAACCTCCTGGTGACTGAGCAGAAATGGCCAGGACCCCATGCCTGGTCTTTGTATAAAGTCCCGTAGTGCAGTGGGAGCTTTTTGTGGGTCTGTTTCACTGCCGAGGAAGGACTGACTGAGCGACCCTGACTGCAGGTGCTGGCTGTATTGTCTGATAAATGTCTATTTTTGTCTCCCGACGAGGGGAGTGTGGACTGTGTGCCTTCAGTCTCGCAGACCCAGAACCCTCTCTTTGAAGAGACCAATCATTAGAAAAAGACAAGGTGACAGCAGAGTACATTCCTTTAAAGCTATAAATACCTTCCCGGGAAAGCACTCTAACCTTTGAGATCTAAATAAGAATTCCATTATAGCCCGGTCAAACTAATTGCAAACTCCTCCTTGGAGGGGAAAGCAGCATTGGCTCCCACGGCTCAGACACTCTGAGGACCAGAGACTCGGCAAACACAGCTCGTGTGGAGCCGGGCTGGCCATTTCTCTGTGCTCCCACCTCCTCAGGTCCCCAAGGGCCTGCATACACAGCCCCACTCTGACTGACTGACCTGTCTGGTGCAGGTCCCAGATTGGCAAGCACCTGTTAAAATGAGAGAAATTGCATCTAGAAGCTGCGAAATTTTCAAAATGGCCCAGAACAGTTGGGAGTGTTCTGGCCTTTTTGGTCTTATTTTTTTTTTTTTTTTCTCTCTCTCCCTCTTTAAATGGGCCTTGCTGTGTAGTGCTGGCTGGCATGAGATTTAAATCATACACCACCACACCCAGCTCAGAAAAATTGTAATTTCGGGCCAGCAAGATTGCTCAGTAGATAAGGGCCCTCGATGCCACGTCTGACACCGAGTCCAGTCTTCAGGCCCCACATGGGGGACGGAGAGCCAGATGCCACAAGTCGTCCTCTGGTGTCTGGATGCTGTCAGGTGCATATGTGGGTGCATATATACACATAACTGCAGTGAGGCCGTTTACATTGTTGTAATGTGTGTATGTGCTTACTGTGTTTGTGTGGCTGTTCAGGGGTGGGGGGGATGCGCCAGAGGTCAAAGTCCAGTGTCTTCAATTGCTCTCCACTTTTTGTATGTGTAATTTTTTTAAGATTAAAGTGTATGAGTGCTTTGCTTGCATGTATGTCTAGGCACCTGGTACCCTTGGAGGTCAGAAGAAGGAAGGCATCAGATCCCCCAGAACTGGAGTTACAGATAATTGTGAACCACCATGTGGGTGCTGGGAATTGAACCTGGGTCCTCTGTAAGAACAAGAAGTGCCCATAATTGCTGAGCCATCTCACCAGCTCCCCTGGATCTTTTGAGACAGGGTCTTCACTGACCTGGACCACTTTGATTCAGCCAGGCTGGCTAACAAACTCCAGGAATCAGCCTGTCTGTCTTCCCATGCAGGAGTTACGGATGTGTGCTGCCTCACATGCTGGCCGTCTGAGCTCAGGTCCTCATGCGTGCGTAGCACCGAGCCATCTCCCAGACCTTTTATAAAGATATTATGTGTGTGTGTGTGTGTGTGTGTGTGTGTGTGTGGAGATTAGAGGAAAGCTTGCATGCAAGATACGGTTCTCTCCTGTGTGGGTTCCATGGAATTGAACTCAGGTCATCAGCTTGGCAGGCCTGATTCAGGCCTGGTTCAGGCCGTTTTAAATACACCATTCCCCCAGGTCCCCAGGGAGCACAGGAAGAATTTGAATCCCTTGTTCCTTTTGGCAGCGCTGTCAGGTTCAGAATGTGAATGAAGAGGATGGGAACAGGCGGCCTGTCTGCACAGGCACCCACTAATGACCTTTGACTAGCATGTCCTCCCATGGGCTTCCTCAGGCTGGACCCAGTTACAGCTGGAAGGACAGCCCCATTAGACGGTGGTGCCTGCCTGAGGAGCCTGGAAGAGGTTTCCATGGTGCTGGGGCTCTCTCTGAATAAGGAGAAAGGGGTGCCCCTGAGCTACTCGTTAATTAAGCCCAGAACAGCCAGGATTCAAAGACCAGGCCAGTGTGTGCCAGGGCTCCTGGGGGGCCATTCATGGGACCCGGTCTGGGGCTTTCTTCTCTCAGCCTCTCTCTTCCCAGGCCCAGCTTCTAAGAGATGAAAGAGTAGAGAGGCTGTGGCGTGGGCGGGGAGGGGCACTGCTGACATGATACATGAGAGGCTGTTCCGTGCCAGTGCTGCTGTCCGCCCCCTCCCTCGACAGATCTGCCACTTCCCTTGGACAGAGCTGGCTGATGAGCCAGGCCTGACCCACCTGAAGCCCTTGTGCCTCGTCGCTGACCTCCCTGCCTCCTGCATTGTCCTCCACCCCTCCTCTCAACTTCTTCCTCCATTCTAAATGAGTTGTTCTGTCCCCAACTCCTGCCCCTCTGGATACCTGTGGGCCTTCGGCACATACGGTACTCCAATTCAGCTTGCCCTAGGCTCCAAGCCTGATGATGATGATCCTGTGAGTAGCATCCCAGGCCACCTGGTGGTCCCCACCAGGATCTGAGGTCACCCGTTTTCCTCACAGCTGTCAGGTCCTATGGGGCTACCACCTAGGCAGCCCTCAACTGAGCTGCCACATTACCGCCTGTAGAGGAGACCCAAACAGCTCTCCCCACAGGCTCCAGGGCAAGTGAGTTCCTGAAGAGGCTGTCCTGCCATGTGCATGCAAAACGTGCAACACACAGGCATGTGCAAATTGCAAACCTCCATGTGAATACATCCGTGCACATGGCACATGCAGCATTACACACATGTATGTGGACAGATGGGCACATGGTCACAAAATCACAGTGTACTTACAAGCATACACGCGCACAGATACATGCACAAAAATATAAACATGTACATACAAAAATACATGCAGGCTGAAGAGATGCCTCAGTAGGTTAAGTGAGGAGGACCTGAGTTCGAGTCCTAGAGTGTACATTAAAACAAAACAAAATCCAATGAGAGTGGCTTGCGCCTTTAATTCCAGCACTTGGAAGGCAAAGGGAAGCAGAGCTCTGTGGTTTCAAGACCAGCCTCCCTGGTCTACTTAGTTTCAGGCCAGCCAAGGCTACGTAGTGAGACCCTGTCTCAAAAACAACAAAAGACTGAGTGACACATGCTTGTACTCCCAGTGCTGAAGAGTTAGAGACAGGCAGAACCTGGAGGCCAGCCTCACCCACCTGGCAACTCCAGGCTAGGGGAGACCACACCTCAAAAAAAAAAGTGGATGTTGAAGTTGACCTCTGGCTGCTACATGCATGTGTATGTGCACACGTGTGCACAGACACACATACACACACACACACAAAAATGTATTTGAGGTTCCTTTTTTAAAAACAAAAAAGACCACAGAAAAGTCAGATTGGTGGCCCATATCCATAATCCCAGCAGCTGGGAGGCTGAGGCAGAAGGATCAAGAATTACTGCCTGGTGTTTGAGGAGAAAGAGTTTTCTTCAGGGATGTGGCCCCCGGGTAGGCTGACCTTGCTCCAATGGATGGCTTCACACCCGGGTTCACATGGGTGGATGACTTCACACCTGGGTGCACATGGGTGGCGATAACGTGGTGGGTTAGAACAAAAGAGAGGAAGAGGGCATGAACCTGGGAGGGAAACCTGGTGAGGAGTTGGAAATGGGGGATGGAGAG